GAGCACGATGCTGTTCCCGGAGCACAGCTACAGGAATTGCAGCATCCACCGCCAAACCTGGGAGGATGGAGCCACCCAGAGGTCTGTCCCCTGCTCTGACACCCCTGCTCGGCACAGCAGCAGCTTTCCCTCTCTGAAGGGAGCATCGGCTCCATCCGACCAAATTTTGCCAGCAGAGTTGGGTTTGAAGCCTCTGAGAATGCTCCTCATGGGAACCCTCCCGCAAAAGGCAGAACGAAGCCCCTCCCTCCCAGAACAGAAGGAGAGATGTTTTGAGGCAGGCAATAGGAACTCTCATCATTCTCCCACAGAGGAATAGACATCATTTATAAGGATGGAGATGTCGACAGTCCCATGGTCAAAGAGAGGATCTGGCAAAACAGCGATGTCAGCTTTGATAATGTTCTGTCTGCTGTGACGGCCCTTTTCACAGTCTCCACCTTTGAAGGCTGGCCAGCCTGCGTGGCTTCTCCATGCGTTCACAGCATTGTTAACAGAGCTGCATTTTCCAGAACAATTCACTATAATTTACCAGACATTTTTTTAGGCAATTAAGCAGTTAAAGTGATGATATAAAGAGGGGGGAGGTAAAAAAATCTAAAAATCTGTTATCCTGAATCTGTGCCCTTATTCCCTATTTCAGTAAAAGTAAAAAAAGGTGAACTTCTTTCCACTCTTTAATTCTCAGTCTTCTTGTTACTTTTGCTGTAAGGGGCTACTCCTCACCTCTAATGGATGTAACAAATTTAGATGCTTATCCATTAACGGATGGATGCAAGGCTGCTCCTGGGATATTTAACTCACGAGCTTCCTGCTAGGCTAGGGAAGGGRTGAGTGAATTGCACAGAAAGGGCAGAGTCCCACAGGAACTACYGTCCAGGCTGACCCAGGGCACCCAACACTGACTCCTGAAAAACAATTACCAGGAATTCCCTGCTTAGAATCTCAGAATGGCTTGGGTGGGATGGGACCTTAAAACTCATCCCATTGCACCCCTGCCATGGACAGGGACACCTCCCACTGTCCCAGGGTGCTCCAAGCTACAATGTCCAGCCTGGCCTTGGACACTTCCAGAGATCCACCAGCAGCCACAGCTTCTCTGAGCACCCTGTGCCAGGGCCTCCCCACCCTCACAGGGAAGAACAATTCCTTCCCAATATCCCATCYATCCCTGCCCTCTGGCACTGGGTAGCCATTTCCCCTTGTCCTGGCACTACGTGCCTTTGTTTAAACAAAGATAATTTCATTTTTAAAAAAAGAGGAAAAAAAATCTTCACAGGATGAAACAGGTCAGATTCTCAAGGCAATTCCTGTCCTTTGGAGATCCTTTCCCAACACSTGTGGCCACCTCTTTCCTTGCTAAAGAGTGACAAGGATCCCAAATTTTGTTCAGTCAAAAAACAGCTCTTGTTTCGTGCATCATCCGAAGCCTCCCCAGCAAGGAGAAAGATGCAGRAAAATCCACACCTGCTTCACTGCTGGGAAGGGATTTATCAGCTTTGTCAGTAATAACATCCTCGATGACCCTCTTTTCCAAACCTCAGCAGCCTCCTGTGTACCCACAACCACCCCCAGGTTAAGCTTTCCTGGATGCTCCAGGCACATCCCTTGCACTTCCAGATGTTCCTCAGCTGAGGGAGAAATCAGGGATTTTTGAATAAAAACCACCAAAAACTTCCTTTCATTTATTATTTTTGTTTAGAAATACCTTTAAGCTTGAACTCACTTTTTACATTACACTTTTTACTGTAATGTACAAATATCCCATCAATCCCTTTATTCCCTTGTTCTGATGTGTGCAGCCATGGCCATCAGAGCTGGGGAGGAGAAGCAGCTTTTACAAATTAACAGCTGTGCCTAAACCTGCCTTTGGAGGAGGTAAAATACGAAAATGCTGAAACCTTTAGCATAGTATAGAACTATGTCCTGYTCTGGGGAGCCTTGGGCAGCCAGTGCCCCCCAGTCCACGGGGTTTGAGGGGCTCCAGGCTCCCTCCCCTCATCTCCCCACTCTTCACCATCCCTCCTTTATCTGATTTCCTGAATTATTTAATGGCCCTGGTGGGAAGAGACATTATTTTTCCAGGCAGCAAATTGCAGAGGACACYGCAGGGCATTCCCCTCTGCTGGCATTTGCCTTCTACCCGGTCAGCCCTGCCGGGCCCCGTGAGAGCCGTAGCTCCCTCACCAAGGGGGAGAACACTGCAGGGTTACGGCTGCATGCTCTGMAGGTTGGGAGATGGCTCAGCCCTGCTGTGGAACATTGCCAGTGTGATCCCGGCAGGACACGGGGTGCAGCGCCCGCAGCCCTCGGACACTCCCCGGGATGGAGCCGAGGGACCGCAGCTTCCTTCCCCCCTCCCTGTCCCCTGCTGCCTGCCCGGAGCCGGGGCCTGGCAGGGGCTGTGGCTCAAGGKTTTGGTTCCCAGTCCATGTAGCCTCCCGAGATGCTGGAGCCCCCGCTCAGCTCGGTGGCAAGCGGACGGAGCCAGCCCTGCAGGGTTCAGGACATTGCTGCTGCAGCTCCTCCCTCGGGAACCCACCGGCTAGGGCGGGGGAGGGACCGGGGCACCCAGGCCGGTGGCAACCATGGATTTTTCCCCTACTGATGAACACATTTGGAGTTTATTTGCATTGAGGCTGCCTGGCGGCTCAATAGCGCTGTCCTGATGAGCCCCTGTGCAGTCAATGCCTCCCGTGCGTTAATTCCAGGCTCCAGCACAGCCCATGCTCTCTGGAACACCGCCCCATCCCTGCTCCAGCTCCCCTCTGGTTTGTACAACCCAGGTTTCCAAATCGCAGCCCAAAGCAGAACAGGAGGTGCAGGTTTTCGGAGGGGAGCAGGGGTGGAACAGCTGAGCACACCAGGAAGGAATGGCTGGAGACAAAACACCCCTTTTCCAGGAGCAGGGCCGCCCAGCTGCCTCTGTGGCAGCTCTGCTTGACAATCCCCAGCAGCAGCAGGGGTAAATAATTTCCTTTCTCAGAGAAAGCCATCAGGGAGCACCACTCCATCTTTTTCCAGATTCCAGGAGCTCGCTGCCAGCCTATCCATCTGCAGCAGATGGTGCAGCCCATGCCCAGCTGCCAAAGCAGCGGCAGATATAAACATTGTTCCAAACAAAGGTGGTGCGTGTTGAAGAGACCCTGGCAATCCTCTCCCTTCTGATAGTTGTTGGGGGCTCCAATGGATTTCTAYCGTGTGATTTCTGGATTAGAAAAATAAGGGTACAATTGTAGCAAACGCCAGAGAAATCTAATAAAACCAGAAAAAGACTGGAACTGAACCACAGTGGACAGAGACAGGCAGGGTCACCACAGGAAAACAGTAAGCAAAGAACAGAAATCCAACTTACCAYTGAGCAAGGAAAGAGAAAGCCCCAAGGGAGAATTGCTGGTTCAAAAAATAATTAACCYTGAGCTCACTTTAGTTTAAAACCACAGCACTTCCAAGCTTTCTACACTTTCCCAYCTTCAGTTTGCTTTTAGAGAGCAGGAACTGCCCTGGCTCATTGCTGCACACACCCAGCCTGAGCTCCAGAACTACACAGGGAGCAATTCCCAGTGYCACCATGGAACCAAAATCCACCCCAAAAAGGACAGGAGTGCCCTTACTGCTGCCTTGGCCGCAGGCAGGAGGTGGTGGAAATCACAGGGGAAGCCCAGGGGCCACTGGAGCAGATTGTGTGGCTTCTGTTTGCAATAAAACACGGGAGCAGTGCAATGGGGTGACAGGAAGGCAGCTCTCCACAGCCAAAGGGAGCACATCCCTCATTTCTGAATCCGCAGGGTGGATGGAATGAGAAGCAGCAATCCCTGGTGAGGTGCATGAYTACACATAGGCCCCACAGCAGAAAACTGTCCCTGAGGCTGGAAACTCTGCTTTGGAATATCACTGAGCCCGTGGTGGCAGGGAACAGGAGAGGAGGAGCACTTTGGGGATGGATACCCTGACCCTGGGCTTTGCGCAGTGACTGCGGGATCAGGATTGGGGCAGCCCTGGGGCATCCAGCTCCCGGCACTGCTCAGTCATAAGGGATTGGCTTTACCTGTGCTAAGCAGGGCTATGCACAACTCAGGGGCACAAACAGTGCCAGTCTATCCTGGCACAGCCCTGGCACAGCCCTCTGGAGGGGGAGAGGGTATGGAGGCCATGCCTCAGCACCCTTGACAACACTCTTGACCCCAAAGCAGCGTGGATCCAGAGCTGCAAAGCCATCCCAAATTCCAGCCCGTGTGCTGGCAGCAATGTGTATTCACACACCCCCAGCCTCTCTCAGCCTCTCAGGTACCAGCATTCATCTCAGCTGCAGGAAGGGGCAGTGTTAGCATCACCCACGGCTTTGGACAGGCACAGAAATATTCCTCCATGTTGCCACTTGTCTTTTACACATCCCTTCCTTCCTGCTAATTCCCACTCTTCCCTCACAGGTTTTTATCCTCACCTTGTAAACACCCAATAAGCTGCTTCCCATATGCCCTCTTCCCTTTTCCCTCAGCATGCAGTGCAACCCTGTAAAGCAGCTGCTACACYTGTGTTTAGATGCAGGTTTGCTGCCTCTGTTCCTGCCCCACAGAGGGACAGCTGCCCCAAGGCCCAGCCGCTCCCCACCCATTTTTGCTCTAGCTAGACRTAACAATGGGAGATAAAAGTGGGTGTATAAAGAGGGATGGGGATATTTTATAAGGTCAGATAGTGACGGGAACAAGGGGAATGGCTTTGTACTGAGAGACGGCAGGGATAGATGTGATATTGGAAAGAAATTGTTCCCTGTGTAGTGGGAGAGGCTCTGGCACAGGGTGGYTGCCCCTGGATCCCTGGAAGTGCTCAAGGCCAGTTTGGACAGGGCTTGGAGCAGCCTGGGACAGTGGGAGGTGTCCCTGCCCATGGCAGGGGGTGGGATAGGATGGGGTTTAAGGTCCTTCCAACCCAATCCAGCCTGGGATTCCATGATTAGCTGTCCCYACTACAACCTTGCAAAAAGAAAAAAGGCACCACAATGAAAGTACAATTTTATTMTCTTTTCTCAGCTGCCAAAAGTGCAGTTCATCATGGGAACCTGACCATTACAAACTGTTAATTTTCAGGGTGCTCTGGTTTTGAGCAAAACCAGATGATTTCCAATTAAAACAGAGAATCCAGTTCATGTGGAAATCTGACTTTTTATCTCATGTTGGCTTGGTCCTTAAGACCTGGGTGACTACAGTCCAATAATTCTGATTCTTGTCACCAAACTGTTCCCTGTTACATCAGCCAAAACAGAGGGTCAGCAGTAAATACAAAAGGGTTTAATGGAATGGGAGGGACAGCAATGAGACTGGGTRGATGCAATGGGAGGAATTTTGCTGTGGCTTTGAGACAAATCCCAGTGAGCTCCATGAGCATCTGACCCAGCAGTGAAACAGCTGTGGTCACAGCACCGCAGCACGAGCCCGGGAAGAGCTGGCCTTCAGCTCACAGCCTGGGTCTGGGCTACCAGAACCAGCCAAGACCACTCCGTGGGCTCATAGCCCTAAGCCAAGCAGGGCACCAGCTCCAGCCCAGCAGCAGGAGGGAGCAGGGATGCAGAGGACAGCTGAGTGCAGGAGGATCTTGACAGTGGTAGATTTAGGGTTGGACTCCATGATATTAAAAGGTCTTTTGCAGCTTTAATGATCCTGTGAGTTTGTGCATGGTTTGTGTTCTGAGATGCCACAGAAGGACTGGGAAAACCTCAGGGGTCCAAAGCAGCCATGTGGCAGCACTCAGACTCCTCTGGTCTCCCCACAAAGCTCAGCATCCTCCTGGCTTTCCCACATCTGCTTCTCCAACAGGAAGAGGATCAGCTGCATTACAAGCCTTTAAGCAGCTGGCATGGTTGGAGAAGAGAAGGGTCACGTTAAAAGCTGTCTGCTCCTAAGGGGCCCTTGGCTCAGTCCACSTGCACACCCTCAGGCAGCTCCACCACCACAGGGGCACAGTCATCAGGCTCAGCCTCGAAGTCCCATCTGAACTTCTTGGTCAGGTGAGCCTTGAACTTCTCAGCCTTTTTCCTCAAAGTCTCATCCACAGCAGAGCTGCATGTGCAGGAGAACAGCACCTGAAATACAGAGCAGAGGTCAGAAAGGGCTCACCTGCGCATCTCCTCCCTACAGAGACACCAGGGAGCACCAGGAGGGAGCCAGCTGAGGATTTACTCCCCTGGGACTACTCCAACTTTGGGGGAGACCCAACCCAATCACTYCTCACCCCACACCCCAAGGCCATCCTGCCTTCACACCTCTGAGTCATGACCAGAAATATCTGCACTCAGATAAGAACAGGTCTGAAGCAGGGGTGTATTTGTAACTGAATTTGTACCACAGCATTCTGAAATACAAAATGTGAAATAAGGAAAATGTCTGAGCAGAAGGAAYTAAAACCAAATAAAATACTAGCAGCCAGATTTCCAGCAAGCATCCAAAAGGACAACAGATAATTGCACACATCATTYCCATGGGTAGAGATCTCCTAAAGCATTTCTGTAATTTGGTATTACCAGGACCTTAGGATACAGAAGAAACTTGATTAAAAGATCTCGAATGTAAGAGAGGAATGGCAGCTCTCTGGAAAAAGTCTGATTATCCCCACCCTGCCATTCCCTTGTGCACAGAGTGCTGAAGTCTGGAGGAACTTCTGCCTTCCATCCCCCAAACACAAACCCAATAATGTGTCACAAATTCACAGCTTCTGCTGGCACCYCAGAGGGAAAGCACCTGGGTGTGATTAACAAGGCATTTAGCCCCAAAGCCCAGCTCTTACCAGCCTGATTCTGCTTCTCCTGAACTTCTGATCCTGAACTAATTTCCATARAAAGAAACCTCCTCTGGGGAAAACACAGCCTCTTATTTGGGAGAGACCTACTGAAAGATGGATAAAGCACTGACAATGAGCAGCAAAGTTTGTTGCTTTGTGGATGAACATTTGCCTTTTCCTTGCTCATTCTAGTGGAAAACTGCCTCTTTCTAACAGAACTAACCACAGCAATGCTGCTGCTAGGGCAAAAAAGGATAGGGCAAAAAAGGATAAAAAGATGATACTTCCCACTTCTTCTCAATGAACTGTGCGTTAGATTTTTTTTTCTTTTCTTTAAGCACTGGCAGGGCTGCACAGACAGTGGTGGTTGTGCTGTGCTCTTGCCACTTTGGATCAAACTCCCAAATTAAAGCTGGTGTTCGCAGAGCTGAGCAGGAGCTCAGACAATGCCCTCCCCCACAGCTCAGAGCCACTGCCCATGCCCAGCTGGGGAAGGGAATTCTGGCGTCTGTGCAAAGTGAGGGGCAAAGCAAGGCCCAGAGCTGCCCTGGCACTGCTTTGGGAAATCCCACGGGAGCAGAGAAATTGAGAGCTCCGAGTGAGTAAGGGCTCGGTTTGCAAAGCTTTTCTTTGTCACTGGGCTTAAGGTGATCCTGACACCAGCACAGCTCCTGCTGAGGCAGTAGGACATAGGCTGGTGGAGCCCAGGGCTGGACAAGGCTCAGGCAGCCAAGGGTGCTTCCCAAATTGCCCTCGGGGGAAAGAACGGCCAGCTGCCACATTTGGGTGCTGCTGTGAATTGCCAGCACTGCTCTGAGTGTGCTGCAGAGCTGGGCTGTCCAGACCTGCACTGGGATGGAAAAACCTACCAGCACAAATAAAATACAAATTAAAAAAAAAAAAAGAACTAAACGAGACTTGTAAGAATCCAAATTCAAAACTCTGAAAGCCACTTAATTAAAGCAATGCTTCCCAAAACATCTGACCCAGCAATTAAAACCAAACACCTCCACCCTCCCCAAACCTACAGCAAGAACTTAGGGTTAACAAAGAGAGGAGTGGAACTGTTGCTTGGGAAAGGAGAGGGCACAAAACTGCATTGAGCTTCTGCAGCACAACTTCCCCCAGCTTCCTGCAGGGCTGCTTGCACTGCCGAGCTTTGTCAGCGTGTCTGCTTTGGGGTTTTTTTGTGAACTAAACTTTGCTCAGCCAGTTTGCTGCCCTGCCAGCATGGTCACAGTCAGTGGGAGTCACTGGTTTCACTGGGGCTCAGCCACAGATCTGCCCCTGCCTGTCAGCAAAAGCAGCATCTTCTGCATTTTGGAATAACCACAAATTCCCTCTGGATAAGAACTTGACTGCAGGAAATCTTCAGCTGTGCTAACAGAAATGGAARAGCTTCCTAGCTAACATCACTGCCCTCAGCTCAATAAGATTTTGCTGAACTGTCCTGCATAGTGAGCAGACCATTCCAGCTGCCCAAAAATCAGCATCACCAATCCCTTAYGCCAAAGTTTTTTGTGTTGTTTTTTCAAGAATGAATGGCATTTTATAAAAATTAAACATCCTGCACTTCCCCAGCCTCTCTTGTAGCTGTTCAGCTCAATTTCTTGTTGAATGACACTAGGAAAAAGTAAAAAATCCCCATGTKCTTAGACAGGCTCCCATCTCCAAAACAGCTTAATTCCTTTGGCAGCTTCTCCCCAAATTTGATGTCCTGCTGCCCTCTGTCCCACTCCCAAATCTCAGGGCACTGTCACAATCATACCTGTAAAGTGCTGGTTAAAAAGTTGTCGTGGGAGACGATGTCCACAAAAAAATCTGCCGGGATCTCGTTGAGCTGGTGATACAGCACAGAAATGAGGTTGATGTAAAGGTCTTGGTACTTCCCTATGGCCTCCTCTGATCGGCACAGCATGTTCAGGAGTCTCTTCCAATGCTCAAAGGCATCGTACACGTTCCCAATCAGGAAGCAGATGAAGGCAAACTGCAACTCAGCTGGGTGGGTTCAGAGAAGGGAAATAAAACAAAACACAGGTAAGACTAATCAGATATCCAGGGAATATGTCCTCCCCAAAGCTCTGCAAATGATTTACCAACCCTGGTTGGTTTTTGGAAGTGCATCCATACTCCAAACACTGCTCTGTACTGATGCTCTGCTCTGCTGCAAAGCAAAGCAGAATGGAGCAGGTCACCTCTAACTCTGAATATCAGCACTGGAGAGAGCAAACAGCAAGCAACAAAYGCAAACATCAAACCCTGCTGTTATTCTGTGAGTTCAGCCTGCCTGTGCTGAGTGGCCAGAACAACATGGAACTGCAAATACCCCCGACATGGAATGCTGGCAGAGGTCAGCAGCACATCAACAAGTGGGTTTGCCTTGTTGAATTAAGGGTTCATCACACTGGATGCTTGGTATCAGCTATTTTGCCACTGCTCCCTAAGGCAATGTGTTGTCTCTACAGTTGTCTTTAATAGTTTTGAAAAAGCATAAATTGTATAATGTTAATGTACTGTGAAAGGAGTAAGGGAGAAACAAAGGCCTATTCCAAATCCAGGTTCCAGCTGGGAAACTGTAAGAGCTTCTCCCTCCATCCTGCAAGGAAACAAAACCCTGCTCCAGGATCTCCAGAGACTCAGTATTTATTTGTATCACAGGCSATAAAATAGGCTGGGGAGGTCTGGTGTCCCCATAGCAGGACTGGCACAGCGAGGACACTGCCACTATCATGGACAGCACATGGAGCACACACAGAATACACACAGAGCTGTGCTGCCATAGTGACAGCCAGGGAAGGACCCGTCACCTCACCAGGAACCTCCCCAGGCAAACAGGAACAAGGGTCTGGCGGGGTCCAGCCCCACTTGATGTTACCAAGACTCAGTAAGATCCAGCTTCAAGACGYTCTCTCAACAGGTGAGATGCCAGACACCAGGGCCACCTGTTGCTGCTTTTGACTTAATCTGGGGCAATATGAGCCCCCASCACCACGTCTTCACCTGAGAGAGTCACGGAAYGGAATCACAGAATATCCTGAGCTGGGAGGAAGTCCAGGTCCCACCCCTGGCCCTGCACAGACACCCCAACAATCTAACCCTGTGTATCCCTGAGAGCGCTGTCCRAATGCTCCTGGAGCTCTGGCAGCCTCGGGGTTGGGACCATTCCCTGGGGAGCCTGGGCAGTGCCCAGCACCCTCTGGGSACAGAAGAACCTTTCCCTGCTCTCCAGCCTCACCCTACCCTGGCCCAGCCCCAGCCGTTCTCTGGGTCCTGTCCCCATCACAGTGAGCAGAGGTCGCAAATGCCTCTTGGGAGCAGCAGCAGCCCCCGGTGAGGTCTGATCTCAGCCTCCTGCAGGCAACGGGAACAACCCCTACAGGCTGCTAAAATCTCCACCAACTTCTGTCCTGCCCTGCTGAGAAACACGTCGGGGCGCATGGAACAGGCAGAGGGAACAGGCACAGGTCTCATCCCGCAACCGTGCCACGGAAATGCCTTCCACCCCGGGCGGTGCTCACCGAGCAGGCCCAGCGGCCGGCCGGGGTAGCGCTGCTCCATCACCCGCTGCAGGGCGTAGCTCAGGTCCATGCTGTGCCGGGTGATCTCCTCGGGGGTGGCCCCGTCGGGAAAGGCCTGCCGGGGCAGCTCGGAGAAGCGGATCTGGGTGCCGGCCCGCGGCCGCATACGGGGCAGCCGGGCCAGGCCCTCGGCGTAGCTGCGGCACTCGGCGCCCAGCGGCGCCCGGACCTGCCCGGCGCGGTCCCGCGTGTGCCGCCCCGCCGTCTCGGGCAGCACCTCGGCGAAMGCGCAGATCTGGCCGCTCTCGGGCTGCAGCTCCTCGGCCACCGCCTCGCTGATGAAGTTGGTCAGCGACACCCACTTCTTCAGCGTCTCGTAGGGGTAGGGCCCGAGGAAGGGGTCCAGCTCCCGCAGRCGGTCCCGCAGAGCCTCGCCCTGCTCGGGGGGCTCGGGCCGCACGGCCTCGCCCGCGGGATCCCAGCGCAGCACCCGCACCTCGCGGCGCCGCAGGCTGAGGAAGCGGCCGGAGCGCGGCCCCGAGTCCCGCCCGCCCGCGCCGCCCGCGCTGCAGTGCACGAAGTGCAGCCCCGGCGGCACCATCTTCACGCCGCGGAACCGCGGCCCCACGGCCCACGCGCTATAGTCGATGCCGAACTCGGTGCCCTCCGGCACGTCCAGCACTACCACGGCCGCGCCCTCGAAGAAGAGCTGCCGGGCGAGCGCGGGGTCCGGCCGCGGGGCCGCCATGGCCGGGCCACACCGGCCGCTGCGAACGGCCCTGGAGCGAGCGACGCTGCCCGGATATCCGGGACAGGCGCTTCCGGCACCGAGCGGGGGCTGCGGCAGCGGGCGGGGGTGCGCTCTGCCCTCACGGCAGCGGGAGCTGCTTCGCTCTTGGCGCTGGTTTCCACTGTGGTGGTGCCCAGCGGGCAGCGGGCAATGCCACCCGACCACTCCCAGCTCGGTCCCTTTCCCCCCCAGCTCGGTCCCTGTTCCACCCAGCCCACCCCCAGCTCGGTCCCTGTTCCACCCAGCCCATCCCCAGTCCCCAGCTAGGCGTTGTTCCCCTTTGCCTCTCCATGGCTGGCGGCTGCTCCCCGCTGACCCATGTCCCCAAAGCTGGTCCCCAGTCCCCCCAGCTGGCTGACATTCCCCTGGGCCCCCCGTGCTCCCAGCTCTGCAGTGGGACAGCCAGAGCCCTGTCTGGGACTCATGGACCGAGAGCACCCCCGGGACAGACACAGGGGCACCCTCACGGTGACACACAGACCCTTAAGCAGGACRGACGCTGTCCCAGCACTATGTCCTCGCTCCCAGGACAGGCAGACTCGGGCTCCCCAGAGAGGGGCAGTTCCCACCACCTCCCTGCGTTCTGTACCTCCTCACAGGCACCTTCGCTGCCCCATGGTGCGTTCGAGGCTCAGCATGTGCCAYACGAATGGTGGCTCCAGCAGCCGCAATTCCCTGCAGCAGTTGGCACCATCTTCATCTGCCCTTGGGAGAGCTCACCTGCAGAGCTTCCTCCAGCTCTGGGCTCTGTGGCATTGGAGGGATAWGGAGATTTTGGAGCRAGTCCAGAGGTGGCCACTGAGATGCTCCAAGGSCTGGAGCTCCTCTGCTCTGCAGCCAGRCTGGGAGAGCTGGGGTGGTTCAGCCTGGGGAAGAGAAGGTTCTGGCARGAAATTAGAGCCCCTTCCGGTGCCTAAAGGGGCTCCAGGAGAGCTGGAGAGGGACTGGGGACAAGGGAATGGCTTCCCACTGCCAGAGGGCAGCGATAGATGGGATATTGGGGAGGAATCCTTCCCTGTGAGAGTGGTGAGGCCCTGGCACAGGGTGCYCAGAGAAGCKGTGGCTGCCCCATCCCTGGCAGTGTCCAAGGTCAGGCTGGGCACTGAGGCTTGGAGCAGCCTGGGACAGTGGAAGGTGTCCCTGTCCATGGCAGGGGGGTGGAACAGGATGAGCTCTATATTCCCTTCCAGGCCAAACCATTCTAGGATTCCTCCTTTTCTATGATCTCCTCTTTAGACAGAATCCTGTATTTCCATGTCCAATGACCCGCATTGCAAGGCTCCCTCTTCACTTCTCCATCCTCTCAGCAGGAAAGAGTCCACTGAGGCCCCAGGCTGATTAGCATCAAACACATTTATTTCACTTTTATTGAATACAAGAACAGTGAGCACACACGCATACACCACCAAGCACTGAAAAGGAGTATGACCAAAGGGGGAGAGGGAGAACAAGGGAAGAGAAAAGGAGAGTTAGTGAAAGAACAACAGTTGCAGTTGGTTGGTAAGGTGCTTCTCAAATAAAAATAAATATTATTATTATTATTATTATTATTATTGTTACTGTTACTGTTATTATTACTCATGCAATCGCAGGCCAGGTTCAGAATGAATTTGTGGGATTGAGTAAAAACAGGCACTCGTGTCTCCCACCCCTTTTCACAGAAAGGCCCCTGGAAGAAAACAAGCAGTGATCAGCTATCCAAAACGGARCGTGGTGATGGGCAGGCTGGGGTTGAGCAGCAGAAAGCCACACCTTGCCAGGAGAACAAGCAGTGAGCTTTTTTCTTTCCTTTTTTTTTCCCTCTTTAAAAAAAATAGTTTTCAACATTGCCACCCATGCACACGCTGTGGGAGCCAGGGCTGCTCACTGCAAACTGAACTCATGGCAGTCCAAGCACACTGGGAGCCTGACTCTGCCTGGCTGCTCRTTCCCACGGAAACCTTCGCTTCCCAGTGCACAACTTCAAAAGTGAGTCTGGAGGGTCACAGTGGCCTTGGGTGGGCTGTGGGGGTGCTCAGGCCAGGTGGGCTCCGCCAAGTCCAAAATGTGCCATGTACTGGAGAATGCCAGCACGGTGGGCAGACCCCAGCTCTCCACCACCCCTGGYAGTGCCACTGCTGGGCACAGCTGGCTTGGGTGCATTGGGGAAACAAAAGAGAGAAAAGGAGCSTCTTTGCAACTGCCTTAACTGCTTTTAGGTTGGGGCTGTGCTCTCTGAAAGCGCTTGGTGGGACACTGGGGAGCAGCACTGGCACTGGCACTGGCAGCAGCCCCTGTGCTCTTGCCTTCCACACCTGCAGAAGAAACCTGTGTGCCAAGAGCACAGACTCCTCAGGGACACACTGATATGCTACTGGTGAGTAGCTGCCAGGGAGTAGCTCCCTTCTGGSACAGCAAAGGTGGCAGCAGGGTCTGCCCATGGCACAGGCGCTTTGCTTGGGCATCCTGCGAGCCCCGGCAGCACCTGCAGGACACACCAATTCCTGGGCACAGTGTGTGTGAGGGGTGGGAGACTAAAGGCAAAATGGTGCAGAGTCACGGGCCCTTCTGTTTCTGCAGGAGCTAGAGACAATCCCAAGAAGGAAACCCATTTCTTTCCTTTCCTTTGTGCTTTTGGTTCCAAGCCTACCCGACCTGCCTGGTTCACAGTGTACGGGGCCCTGGGCTTGGCCCACGATCCCCTTCCAAAGGCAGCCCTGGAGAGAGTCTGTGGTTGAAGGTCGAGCTGGGAGCARCTCCTCTGGCACCTCCTGGGCGCTCCCACCCAGCCTGGGATGCTGGGGACATTTGGCAGGGATGGACACAGCATGGTCCCTCCACTTCCCATCCCTCAGCAGGTCAGGGGAGCACTGCCATGGCCCTGCCAGCGCTGTCCCCAGCCCTCTGCCATCACACCTGGGCAGGGGGAGGCAGGGCACAAACAGCCCCTCTTCCTTCGACCCTACTACAAAGCTCAAGGAATTCCATTACTGGGATCCAGAAATAAAGCAAACCCACCCCACCCACCATGGGCTGGAGGGGAGTGCTGAGCCCTGCGGCTCCCCTGGCTCCCACCTGATCCCGCGGCTCTGGGSGGCTGGGAACCCATCCTGCCTACGGCTGCCGGAGCTAGAGCCTTCCCTGCCCCTCCAGGTGACTGCTGCCCCTCYAAATCTCACCACCACCACACACTGCAGATCAGCCAGCAGGACATTCCTGTCCCTTGCCCTCTCCCCTCTTCCCACAACCAGCAGCGGTCGAAACCTTCCCCATTCCCTTCTTGCAGGATTCAGAGTCCCACACGTGATCTAAGAGTCTCCAAATATACCAACCACAGTCAATCCAAGAGTTAATAATTTAAAAACGTCGGCATCGTCTGTACTAGCACTGTTGGATTATTTCAGCATTGTTCCCTCCCTCCCCCTCTGTTATATAGAATAATATACAGAACTGAAATGCACATCCATATGAAACCCCACAGGCTGCTCGTTAGAGATGAGAAACCATGTACATATCATTTGCTTTGTTTGAAATGAAACCCATTCCTAAATACCTTCAGAGAACAAGAGGTCAGACAAGTGCACAGAGAAGATAAGGAAGGGAGGGGGAAGAGTTAACAGAACCCCAAAAAAAAAGCAAAAAACCAGCATGGAATGAGGAGAAGGGCGAAATGACACTTGTGAATTGGAAAATAACTGTAAAGTCATAACTTGAATGTTTTTCTCTCTTCTTTCCAGAGGTGGGGAATGGTTTTATTTCTGCTTGTGKTTTTTTATTTCAATTTGCTTACTTGCTTTGTTGCAAAGCAGTTTTCCTTTCCATTCAATGTGCAACAAATGAACTCATGATTGTATGTCCTTTCATGTAACATGCAAGATGGTGGCTTATTGTGTTGTTACTGAGATTATTGTTATTATTATGACTTTAAATCTGATTTGATCACCAATCCAGGAAAATCTTCCGTTTATCTGCAGAGGGTTGGCTTTGTTTGTTGGTGGTGCTGTTTGCTATTCATTTCCAGCATATAGCAGCAGTGCAAGGATGCATTTTGTTTCCTGTTTATATATATATATATATATATATATATATATGTATGTATATATATATATAATATATTTGCTATTCCTTTTTTAAAAATTTTTTGTCTCTCGCCATGAACATTGCAGCCAGGATGTCTGTGTCTTGCTGACAAATTCAGCATGAAGGCTCCTTCTCCCCTGTTCTCCGGGTTGGAATACAGATGTTGACTTCCAGGAACATGTTGGTCAAGATTCCTGTGCAAGGCAGATGGAAAGGGATGAGTCATGGAGTGCCAGGCCACGGAGGCTCCTCTTTGGACCAAGGCACTGGACAGGGACTTTGCAAACAATTGGGGTCACAGTTTGCACTTCATTAGCAGGAGCTCCGGTAATTAGCAGGAATTCAGGCACTGGACTGATGTYGGTGTGTGGGGGAGATAAGGGGGCGTTGCTGCTCCCCCACTTCAAGCCATTCACCTAAAACTGGGAGGATCCTATGGGATGCAGGAATGTCTGGGCTTGTCTGTGCTTTTGACAGGACSAGACAGCTCCACGAGCCTCTCCTGAACTTCCCAGCTGCATTGCTGGTTGTTTTTCTAGGCTTAAAAGCTGCCAATCAGAACCTTCATACGATAAAGAACCAGAAAATCCCATTTCCAAGGAGCCTCTCCAAAAGCACTTGCAGCCAGAGACCCCCAAAATGTCCCCTTTCCTCTCCAGCCCTGTCCCCACTGCTCCCACACAAGGATTTGGTAGCTGTGCCAACCTGCAGGTGCTGCAGCTCCTGGCTGATAGGGKGAATGGGGTCAGGTATGGGCTTTAGGGTGTGGCAGGACTCCCCAAGCCCTGGAGAAGTGTCTGGGACTGTGACAGCTTTGGGGTGCCTGTGGAGACGTGCAAACCTTGTGTGCTGCTGCYTACACCAGTGTGTGTGCAAAAACACAGCCTGGGGATCTGAGTGGGACTGAAGAGACTGCAGGATTTTTGTAAAGAAATGATCATTTTTGCCAACATTGGTCTGATACTTTGGCTTTGTAGAACCTGTAGCCAAGTTCCTCAGCCCAGTCGCAAAACTGCTGTCCCCTCTTTCCCACCCCAGCCCAGGGGGACGAGCAGGTCCTTTCCCTTGTACACACAAATGCCTGAGCCCTGTGCTGAGCAGGACAGCAGCCTGACACCCACAATATGGCTTTTGGTGGCATGGTAGTGGCCTCTTACCCACAGCCAGATGGCCATGCCCAGGGTCACCATGCCACCAACCGGAGACAATGACCTGCTACACACCCCCTTGCCCAGTAGGGTTAATCACACCTGRCAGCTTTTCCACCCACCTGAGGTTTCTTGTCCCTTTCCTCTGGAGAGGGCTCTGTTTCTCTGTACACCACAGCTTTGGTTACCAGCATGTCAGGGTGCTGGAGTTTTGCCTCTTTGATTGCTAAAGCCAGTGCCTGCAAAGCAGAAGGGTGAGAGAGAGCATTTATCCTTCCTCTCCTGCAGTCAGGTGCCCTATCTGCAGTCAGAAAGCAGCTGGAGCCAATGGAATTCCAGGGAGCAGAGTGSGGAGGGTGGGGATGCAAGGGTTCAGAGCTGAACCCACAGCAGCCTGGCAGAAAAGGCTGGAGCCCAGCATGGGAATCCAGCAGGGGAATTCGTCCACTGTTGGGAGCCCCCACATGCTGCCTTTCTCTGCTGTTCTTCTGTAGGGTTGTGCTACTGAAACCTGGGCAAAGGAAAACACTAGGAAAATSTACAGGAATTATCAGATTCATTATTAAAATTCTATAATTTTGTTTCAGAGCCTTTTATTTACTTTATCTCTTTATTTTCTTTTTCTTAGGCAACAAAACCCTAAGGGTGAGGCCGTAGGAAAATGATCCTGTGGCCCTAAAGACTTGKGTCTGTCTTTGTTATTTCATCATAAAGTGTGTCACTTTTTGTGACATCGAGGCAGAGGCAAAACACCATCATCTGGAGAGAGTCTTCCCGTAGTGAGGAAGAGAAGTGTGCTGGAAGACAGAGATGACCTGGGCCACTTTGGAGTATTTCAACAGAGAAAGCACCTGGAAATGTGTTTTTTTACGGTAAAAAAGTGATGCCATCCTTGTGCTCTGCACTGGCATGTGACCTTTTCCACAGCCTCATGGTGGCACATGGCCCTGGGGTCACTTCACCCATGGGGACCCCACTCTGCTGGACAAGTCTGGGGCCTCGGGGGTCAGTTTTTGGACAAAAGGGATAAACACATTCAGCCAGAAGCAGGAACATGCAGTGCTGCATCTGGGGACAGCCAAAACTGGGCAAAGCTGGGGCATCCTGCTCCTACCTGGTCCTGGTCTACGTCTTCATCTCCCGTGATAATGATGCGCTTCTCTATCCGGGTCTCGGAGAAACCCCCTTTCACAGTCTGCACAAGAGAAGGAGAGCTCTCAGCCTCTGCCCCAGCTGCAGGTAGGGGGAATTCTGCCATGGGAGCAGGGACAGCACCAGCCTCCCCTCAGGAGATGGGGGCAGAACTACCAGTGTCCCTGCCTCAGKGAGAGCTGTGAGCCACAGCTGCCCACTGGGGGGGGCAGGAGAAGGGCAGGGGGCAGGTCCCAAGCACCCTCCTGATACTCAGCTCCCACTCTGAGTTGCTGCTGTCTTTTACAAAATCACAGAATCACTGAGGCTGGMAAAACCCCCTGAGATCACCATGCMTAACYGTTCCCCCAGCACTGCCAAGGCCACCMCTGACCCTGTCCTCAGGTGCCGCTGCCACACATCTTTGAAACCCCTCTAGGGATGGTGACTCCACCACTGCCCTGGGCAGCCTGTGYCTGTTCCTGACCACCCTTTCCATGAAGGAATTTTCCCTGATATCCCATCTAAACGTCCCCTGGTGCAATTTGGGGCCTTTTCCTCTTGTCCTGTCCCTTGTTCCCAGGAGCACAGCATGTACTTAATCTGGGCATGAAACRGCCCTGGGTGAGACCCTCTGCTGCATTTCCCACCCCTGGCTGGATTTACAGCCCCAGCAGTGCTTGCCTGCTCTGGTCACACCAGGCTGGATGGCCTAGGCAGCAYACACGGCACCTAGCACTCTGTGGGATGGCCATTCCCATGGCACAGTACACACCTCTTGGCTGGTTGGAAGCGGAGGGACCTTTTCTGCTGCACCAGCCACAAATAAATCCTGCCCCCCTGTCTAATTCCAGTGGCCCTCAGGAAGCCCTGGAGCTGCTCTCACCTTGGTAACGTGGGTGGTGGTGGACGTGGAGAGTGTTTCTGCAGTGGCGCTGAATATGCTGGTGAGCATGTCCTTCCCAGCGGAGCCACCGGAGATCTGYGGGACACAGAGCAGCCAGGTCAGGGGGTATCACAAAAAGCCAGGACCTTCCCACCRGGATGCATTCACTCAGTCAAGCATGGGAAAGGAGAAGGTGGCAAGGGAGGAAGATGCTGTGCTGTGCTTCCAACTCCACCAGGGTTTGGGGGAACAGGGGGAGGTTTCCACAGGTACCCCAGCCTAAGGGCTGCTGGAAAGGGCTCCTGCAGTGAGGACAGGGTCTCATGGCAGCTTTTGGCTCTTCCCCAGCCACCCTCAGGGCCACCCCAGCAGCACTCTCAAGGTTGCCTCTGTCTCTGTTCATCCCACTATGCCAAGGGCTGGGAAGGCTGGGAATGAAGGCTGGGAAGCAAAGCTGCACTGGTACGCCAGCCCCAGCGCTGGCTCCATTCTCCCTGAAGCACCAAGGGAAGAGCCTGGGGCAGCACTTGGTGTTTGACCAGGCTGGACTCCATCAAAACAAGGAGATGGAGTAGGAAATCCCTTTCCAGAGGAAGGGCTGTGCTGGATAGGATGGTTGGTGGCCATCACCTCCACGGGGGGTCAGGAGACTTTGTGGGTGGCCTTGGGTAACCACTCAGGACACCCAGCACTAAAGGCATCTCAGCCAACTCCATCAAGGACTGGGGTATTTTTTGGGAATTATTTTCCTTGGGCAAAGGTATGGTATGGATCTGGCAGAGGAAAAGCCCACAGGCTGGGGTTTCCTGACATCTTGCTTGCCTGAGCATCCCTCTGCCCTTCCCAGTGCCAACACATCAGCCCAGAGTGCCAGTGCTGGGAGCAGMGGGGGACCTGTGGGATCAATCCCACCCACTCCCAGACCCACAGGGCTGCCTTCCCCAAGCTGGTGCCATGTCCCCCTCACCGGTGACAGGGAGCGAAGGTCTGTGGTGGGAGCAGCCCCTTTGCCAGCCTTGGTGCCATGATCCTGAAAGAAGAGCAGAGGGCACATTGGCTCAGAGGCACAGGGGCTAATGTGGCAGGTGACACCCTCTGCAGACACCCTAGTGGGGCAGGGTCCCCCAGCACAGCTGGCCCTGGTCACTCCCACAGAGCAGAGGGACTGCAGGGGACAGCGGTTCCCCCACCCCTTGAGGGCCAGCCCTGCTTACTGAGGTCGCCAGCGCCGCCTCTGCGATGCCAGCCTGGGCAGTGGTGCTAATGTCCCTGCTGCCTGGGGTGCCTCCGTCCACCTGCCAAGGCAAAGAAAACCAGGTGAGCCTGAAGGTGCCACCAGGGAGTGGGTGACACTTTCAGGGACAGTATGGCCATAGCCTTGCAGCCACAGAAAGCCAGGGAGGGCCATGAGGCCACTGGCAGCTGGTGGCTGTCACCCACTGGAGATGTTCCCATGTGCCAGCACTGTCCAGTGGCAGGGCAGGTGAGGCCAGGGACACTCACAGAATATCTCTGGCTGGTCTTTTGTCTGTGTTTTGGGGTGAGCCAAGGGTGAGCAGAGGTCCCCAAGCACCCCACTAAGCCCCCACCCTGGGATAGGCTTTGGTGGGCTGGGGCTTTGGGGAGACCCAGGGCTCAGCACCTTTGGGGCTTTGGGGAGCAGGGCCATGGGAACAGTGCCAACCACATCACCTGAGCCGTGTCTGTGGTGCTGACCCGATGGGGAGTGGAGCCTTCTGCTTCGGGCTTCTTCACGGGCACAGCATCAGCTTTAGGGGCTGAAGGCTGCAGTAGAAACAGCAGAGTAAGCAGAGCCTGGCCCTGGAACACAAGTGCTCTGCCCCAAATGCTCTGCCCGTGGCAGGGCACTGGAAAGAGATGAGATATAAGGTCCCTTCCAACCCAGCTGCTCTCATTCTGTGCTCCCTGGGCACCAAGGCCCCTGGCAGAGCATCCCTGCCCTGCTCCTCTGCAGGTGCCACACATGGGATGCCACACATGGGCTGTCACACTCAGGATGCCCTGTGAATGTCACACTGAGCCCTACCTGGGCAAACAGCAGGGCTGGGCTGCTGTCCTGGGCACACAAGCACTACCCACAGTACCCTGTGACCCACACACCCCAAATCCAACCTGCTACCCTGTCCCTGGGATTTTTTTGATAGATTGACAGACACAAACTGCTCTTCAAAAGGTAGGTGAGACCCACCAGAACAGTTTCACCCACGAGCCACAGCTCTTTTGTGACCTGATGGCTCTGGATATTCCCGGCGTGTCCGAGACTTGGGAGCTGCCAAGGGCTCCTGCAYGGGGGATACTTCCCCAGTGCTCAGCACTCCTGAGCCAACAACCCCCGCCTACAGTGGCCCYGGGGGCACACGGAGCAGATCCCTCCCGGCCATGGCACCGGACACTCCACACCAGGGTTTCCAGGCTGGCTCAGAGGCAGCTCCCTCTCATTCTGCAGCTCTTTCCTGGCTCCAGGTCTGGACTAACCTCGGCAGCTCTGGCCTCTGCTGGGGACTCACCTGCAGGGCTGGAGGCTGCCCTGGGCTGGCTGGGCAGGAGATGACCCCGGCCCAGCACAGAGACAAGGCCAGGTGGAGCTGGGGGTGGCTGTACCACGCTGTCCCCATGCGTGCACTCAGCCTCACACACATGCACATGCAATTTGGTTAGCCCTGCTGTGACCCCTCCCAGCACAAAGTGACCCTCCACGATCTCCGGGGTGGCTCCACGAGGCTGATTCCTCCCAGCCCCGGCATGACCAGTGAGGTTAGTRGGCTCTGCACTACACAAAGCCGGCACTGAATTCATGCAAGACATGAGCACAGCTCTGCTGATTAGTACACGTGCCCTCCCTGCGGCGCACATGCTGCCGTGGGGTGAGGGATGGGACAGCCCAGTGCAGGGACCCAGAGGTGACAGTGCCTTCTCCTGGTTAGCAGATGCACGAAGCATGTGACAGAGCCATGCAACACAGACACAGCGTGCACGAGGCAGGAACAGGGCTGGTGGCCAGCATGCTCCTCCAAACCAGCCGGGAGTGTGCACCCGCCGGGCAATGCTGAGCACAGGGGACACGGCGGCACGGTGGCACCAGCATGGTCCAGTGAATGGCATCCCTATGTACCTCTGGCTGAGAGACATCTGGGCTGGGCTGGAAGACCTTATCCCTGCCTTTGACGTCCTCTTCCAGTCCCGGAACTACTTTGTCAGTGTGCCGGAAGGAAACCAGGCCTTCATCTTCCGTTTCACTCTTGTCCTTGTCCAGCTCAGGCAGGCTCCGGGAGATGTCCTCAAAGGCTGTGCCGTGGAAGTCCCCGATGACAGTGAAGTCCACCTCTGCCTCCAAGCTGGAGGTTGAGCTGACAGTGATGCTGGAGCACTTGCGCTCGATGGCCAGGTGGTTGTCCTTCAGGAAGACTGAGTCCTTCTCCTGGTCRGGCTCCTCATCGCCAGTGTCGCTCTCAGGGGCCCTGTGTCGGGGTGGTTTCACCCTCTCCTCGGGGCCCTCCCTCACGCCTGCTCTCTGAAGGAGACACAATCGTGGAGAGACGGGGCCCCGTGAGCACCGTGGGGCAGCACTGGCAGGGACATGGCGGGGACACAGCAGGAGGAGGAGAAGGAGGAGGAGGAGGAGGAAGGCTGCAGCAAACATCACAGAGTAGAATCAAACACAACTCAAGCATGGAGACCGAAACCTTTCTGACAGCAGCAGCTTTGCTGGGGGAGAGAAGGCGACTCAATTGGATTGTGCCAAGAGTTTGGTGGCAATGAATCATCTCAAAAAGGCTCGGTCACACGAAAAAGAAGCTTGGCCAGCTTGRAGGCACTTCAGTGCACTGGTGGAAGCAGATGGATGCAAAACAATGGGTCTGATAAGAGACATTCAGAAAGAGCTCGGACGCAGGGCTATCGAATGTCAGTGACTCAGAAAAACAAAGGAGGAAAAGAGAGAGAAGAGCTTGAAAGGAGAGGGCCCATCAGCCAGGCATGGTGAGGGAGAAGCCAAGGAAAGTGTAATTCCACCGAGGAGGAGGGAGCCAATTGCACTGAGCATCCCATGGAGCATTGYCCTGGGGGGAGATACAGCCCACCAGCTGCCCTGGGGTGAGCCTACCCCACCGACACCACCAACACCTGCAGAGGCCTCAGGTGAGCATCAGGGTGACTTGGTCAGTGTAATTGRCAGCATGGCCAGAGCCAAGGGGTGACCTCCCTCCACCCGCTCTTCTCCAGACACGGGACATACCTCTCAACTCCGCCATCTGAGGGRACATGGTCCCTTGCAATGCTTTGCCATGAAGCCATGGGAAATCTAGACCCAGCKGTCCCTCAGGAACAACTCAGCCCAGTGATGCCAGAGGAGCCCCCACCTTGTGGCCTCAGCCCTGAGTGGTTGCAGCCAGAGCTGTTCCCCCATGGCCAGGCTGGGCCAGCGCACCCCTCCCTTGGCACTGGGAGGTTGAGAGGTATGGGAGAGGCACAGGGTGTCCAGTAGTTCTGGTGGGAGGAACAGTTTTGCAGACACATGTTGGGGGCTGTGTGTCTGACCAACATACAGAGAGCCCTGCAGGGTAGCAGAGGGGCAGCACAGCCCTGGCCATGGGCAAGCACTCGCACTGCCGGCAGAAGCACTTAGCAAAACAGCTTTGAGACCTGTGAGACCACTGGAACAGCAGCCTTTACTTTCTCTTCTTTCAGGCTGGTTTTTACTGATGGGTCACATAAATCCTTTTCTTCCCCACTTGGTTCCTGAGATTTGCTCTGGATTAGAGAAAWGGGTTAGTTGGGAGGAAATTAATGTTGCAGGAGCTGCTCTAGCACTCGCAAGAACGAGGGAAGCTGCTCCAAGCCACCGGCTTGCTGAAGGCAGGGCAGGCTGGCGCCTAAGCAAGAAAGGTATCGACCAACGTAGGAAATGCAGGAGTGAAGCTGGAAGCGTGGGCACACCCTGCGGGAGCTGCATGACCGTGACAGTCCCAGCTCCTCCAGCCACCCCACCATGGCCCTCTCCTGCTACCGCCCTGGAGCTCAGGTGCCCCTCCTGGGTTCAGCGAGTGCATTCTCCCAGGAGCCAAAGTGTTGGGGGGGCAAAACAAAAGCTGATGAACCAACTGGGCAGCGGCTGCGCATGCAGCCAGTGAAGCCTGACCACACACACAGACAGAGAGGACAGGGATGCAAAGCGCCTGCTGCCAGTCAATGGATGTGTGATCAGCCACTGGACACGGGCAGAACCACAGAACATGCGCATGAACGTCCCATCCGGACGCTGCAGTSGAGTTACCACAGCCTCAGCCAGGGTGAGCTCGCAGCCAGAGTCGGGCGAGGCCAGGTCGGCACTGTCTTCCTCATGGTCCCGGTCAACAGAGACATTTTCCTTCAGGGAGAAAGGCTGGGAGATGTCTCCTGAACCAGTCCCATGCCCAAAAGCCAAGGAGCTCACACTGGACACAGGTCCCACTGCAGGGCGTGAGGGAAGACCGGTGCTCAAAGGCATGTCCTGAGCCAGATSTGTCCTCCCTGTCACTGCCACCGATGTCTCAGCTTCAGGGACATGCTCCTGTCCCTCCTGGGCCRCCCCTTGCTCTGCTTCGCTTTGCTCAAACATCTTGATCTTGGAGGCCATGGAGGTTTCCCTGTAGCTCTTGCTGTCCTGCCAGTTTCCTGGGGCCACAGTGACATCCCTGTGTTCCTGAGACACAGCTCCTGCCAGCCCAGTCACACACACCAACTCCCCAGGCTCTGCTGGACATGTCCCATCATTTGACTGCTCTGCCCCACCTTCACTCACCAAGGCAGAGAGCTGGGATGTCTCGCTTCCTTGGCACAATCCTGCTACAGGGGACTTGAAGTGTGGGACATCAGCAGATTCTTTGGGAGSAGCCTCATCCTGTGGTGGCTGCCCCAGAGCCAGGGCACTGTTCCTGGTGGTATCTCCGACTGTMCAGCTCCTGCCCTGAAGATCTTGTCTCACACTGAACTCGTCCCAGTGTTGTGCTTTGGGATCTGCAGTGTGGAGAGGCCCTCTAGCCATGGGGCCCCCTGGGGGCAGGTCTCTCAGGATGATCTCAGTCTGGTGTTCAGGTTCTTCTGCCTTGGGGGACATCTTGGCTGTGCCAGGGCTTTTGTCATGGGACAGTTCTTCCATCCCAGAGCCTTCATCTCTAGTTGGCTTCCCTGCTCTTGAGTCCTGGAAGAGCTCTTTGATCTTGAGCTTCTCCTCCCGCAGTGGCTCTTCAGTGGCAGGGACCTTGCTCTGTGCTATGACAGGGTCCATGTCCTGGGCCACCTCCCTTGTGGCTGGGCCTCTGCCCTGGATTGACTCCGCTGCCACATCTGTGTTTTGGGGTGGTTCTCCTCTAACAGGRCTTGTCCCTTGATGTGATTTCCATAAGGCAAATCCCACATTTTGGGATTGTTCTTCAACTTCAGGATCAGGGCCMCTGGCTAGTGTCACCTCTGTGGAGAGGCTTCCACCCTTGGGGATGGCCACCCCTCTGGCAGGGGTGGTGCCCAGGGCCAGGTCTGTGCCCGGAGATGGCCCTGCAGGGACAGGGTTGGGTTTCTGGGGCAGAGGTGGAGGGGTAGGAGCACTGGGTTTGTCTCCCTGCAGCCCCACAGTGTGAGCGTGGCCCTGCTGAGACCCAGCTGATGACAGAGATGCCTTGGGCTCTATGTCTTCCATCTGAAGAACCACTCTGGCATTTTCCTCCCTGTCACTGTCTTCTCCAGCCCGTCCCAAGAGCCCCTCCAGGGCTGTGCAGCTGTCTGGGGACCCTCTGTGCTCCTCAGCCCCAGGGCCATCCTCTGCCAGGCCACATGGCTTCGAGCCTCCCCCTGGGCTCTGCAGCTTCGTCCCCTCTGCTCCCACCTCCCAGGAACACGGCAGGGCGTTATTTCCCATGGGTGCTCCCCTGGACACCCCAGCATCAGTGGTTTTCTCTGGCTGGAGGGACAGCTCTTCCCACCCTGAGAGGGGACGTCCCCCCAGGCTGGTCCCATCACAGTAGGACCACTCTGGTGYTCCAGCAGGTTTTGCAGATACTGTCCTGTGTTGGTGATTTGCGGAGGAGAGGGGTTGGAACCCTTCTGCTGTAGGTGCCATGTGCCCCGATCCCTCTCCAGATGTGTTCACTGTGGCTTCTGGTCTCTCCTCCTCCAAGCCAAGACACCCACCAGTGTCTGAGACCATGTGTGTTTTAGTGTCCTTCTCTTCTCCCTCTGGATCTCCTAAGTAGATAATCCTCTGGGTTGCAGAAGTCTCCGAGCTGTCATCACCAGCCTTCACTTTAATTTTCAGGAGCTCTGGGACCATGGGTGCCACTCTGGCCTCCTGCTTCCTGCAGACTGCAGAAGCGCGTTCCTTGGGGAGCATCTCGCCTTCTCCCTGAGGAGGYTCTCGCTCCAAAATCTTGGTCCTTAGCCTCTCTTCAGGCTGCTGGCAGGGCTTGGGCAGCTCCAGCTCCCTGGTGGCAGCGCCTTTTCCCGGCTCCTGGGGCTCCCCCTCCGTGCTCTCTGTGGGCGGATGTGCTGCCCTCGGGCCAGGCTCCCCCCTGCTTTCCTTGTCATAGAGCTCATCCTCCCACACAGACTCAAAATCCTCGGGACTAGCAATCATTTTGGCTCTCTTCCTCGTATCCAAGGCTGCAGCTGCTGGCTCTTCGTGGCCTGCCATGTTCTCGGCTTTCCCTACTGTCACCTCCACTTTCGTCAGGCTCCCACTCGCGCTCCCCTCTGAGCTCCCTGCACGTGCTTCGTCCGTCTTGGCTCTCAGGGTTTTCCTCAGAGCTACAGCTTCCAGTCTAGGGGCTTCTCTCTCTATAAATACCCAGTGCTCCGAGCCCTGCATTGCAATTGGAGCAAGAAGAGTTAAAGGCATCAGACACCCCAACCCCAAGTGCTGCTGGCAACAGCTGGTCTGCCTGGCACAAGGCTGGCTATGTCACCGTCATCATCATCATCATCATCATCATCATCATCATCATCATCATCATCATCATCATCATCATCATCATCATCATCATTAGTGACATCCTTATTATCAAGGCCGAGGCTCTACACAAAAAAGCCTGGCAGCTCATATTGGAGAGAGTGGCTGGAAATCAGGGGCTGATGCCACACTGGGGACAGAGCCAGGGCTTCTCTGGGGACTGTCCTCTGCTCTGGGTGGGGGTTCCCTGACACACCTGCAATAGCTGGGGCTTTGCTGGAGGCACAGAGTGGGAGTGAGGCTCCAGCAAACACTCTCAAGTTCATCCATGTGCCYTAAGAATGTGTCAGATTGCCAAGAGCACAAGCAGGGGAAGAACCACCTGAAGCCATCAGCAAGGCCCTTTCYCTTTCCTACCAGATGCTGCAGCTCAAGTTCCCCCAAAGGCCATCCCTCCTTCCCAGCTCACCAGGGATATTCCTCAGAACCCACATCTCAGCAGAGGTTCCCAGTCACACTGAACCAAAGGCTTCAGAAACTGCCACGTGGGAAAGGGTCCCTGTGAGGTGTGAAAGACCACAGGCTCAGCAGTGGGACCAAGCAAAGGCCATRGAGTGTCCTGCAGCACATACACAGCAGGAATGTCACTGTGCCACTGGCAGGTCACCACTGCGAGGGACACCTTGTGCTTGTCCTGCACGTCAGCTGAAGGCCCCAYGAGTGCCAAGAACAAAGCACTGCTAAAATCCAGTCACTTTTGGAACAGCAGGTAGGAAATAACCCACRGGAAGAGAGCAGCAGAACATCTGCACTATGGAGGGCAGAGCTGGGGCTCTCTGCAGGGCTGGCACTGGGCATGGTCTGCAGCAGAGGCAAGGATGGCCCTTAGGAGCACCAGGATGCACTCCAGGCCCAGGGAGGGGGCTGCCTGCCTGCTCCCTGCTCCAACCAGCRACACAGATCCATGGAAATGTGAGCCTCACCCCATGCAGGGGGACACGGTGAATGTTTGGAGCAGTTGCACCCAGAAAGCTAACCTGGAAACTGATACTAGAGAAGGGGAAACAGGGAGTAGGAGCAGAGAGGAGCAGAGCCAGAGGGAAGAGAAGATAACATTAGAGGAGAGAGAGAAAGGAGGAAAACCAGTGACTAGTGGAAGAACTCCCACAGGGAAATCAGAAATTGATTCTCTCAGCAGAAAAATGTCATTCCCAGCTCCTGCCTTCTCTGCCAAGTACCAGAGGAAGCAGAKCTCCCTCAGCACAGTGTCCCAAGCCCTGCCCTGGGCTCTGCCAAGATTCCCTCTGCTCCTGAAAACCCCCGGGGGCCTGCAGGGAAGCACAGAGGGGGGGGGCGGGGTTAAAGCCCATGGGCCCCAAAGAGAACACCCCACCCCTGAGGGCAGGGAGGTGCCAGTTCCTGAGTGCCAGGACACCCATGGGCGTGGGCAGTGAGGSCACCCTCTTCCTCCTCCTCCTCCTCCTTCTCCTTCTCCTCCTTCTCCTCCTCATCMTCTGGTGCCAGAGGGGTCCCTGGCAGGGGCTCTGCACAGTGGGGTCCACAGGAGACCCCAGCCCAGCCCCCTCCAGCAGGAGCCTCTCCACAGCCCCCTATCCTGCACCAGTTGCTCTCCAGCTCCCTTCCTCCACAACTGCCTCCAGCGCAGCTTTTGTTCCTTCCTGGATCCTGGAAATGGGAACAGAACCCATCAGTGCCTGCCAGGAGCACGGGGCAGMTCCATGGCCACTCCCCGCTGGGTTTGACCTGTGGCAGCAGCAGCATCCCCCTAATGGGGTGGCTCACTGGGCAGCTCAGGCTGGTGTCCAGCATTCCCTGAGCATTCCCTGAGCATTCCCTGAGAATTCCCTCAGTACTCCCTGAGCATTCCCTGAGCATTCCCTGTTTCCCTTGAGCAGCCATGCTCAGCCAGGACACTGCTCTCTATCCTGAGAGTGTAGCAGCTTCTCTCCTCAGCAAAGGCCTCTCCTCCCTCTCCTCTGACTGTAACCACTGTCCTTTGGAGGAAACCTTCCCTGGGCAAAGGGGATGAGTTTCTTCAGGCTCCTCCTCTGAGTAAAGGCCCAAGATAAATGCTGTAGATCAAAGTCTGAAGCCTGGAACACGTTCATCCATGACAACACCTCTTCAGCAGTCAGGAAAACCCCAAAGCTTCAGCTTTATCTCCAAACCAGCTTGTTCCTTCTCCTCAAACCCTCGAGATGAGCACAGCTCAGTCCAAGGGACACCCAGCTCCTCCATGGTGTGATGTGAGCTCTGCTCTAGAGGGCTTGGRGCCGGCTCCAGCCACGGCTCAGAGCAGCCCTTGTGTCCCCCGGGGCCTCTGGGGGATATTCAGAGCAAATCTCTGGGTACTAGTGCACACCCCCAAGGAAGCAGGAACTCCTGAGCTTCTGAGGTCAGCAGGCTGGAGCCAAGGCAGAGCTGCCTCTCAAGAGGTGATGCTGGGCAGGGTCTGTCCAGAGCCCAGCCKTGACTTCCCAAGGGAAAAGTGACTTCCACACTCCCCTCCCCACCCATCTGCTCTAGGGACAGGAGCAGCTGGCAAGGCCACCCCCACAGCAGCCCAGTCAGCAGCAGGGACAGAGGTGACAGCAGGGAGCAGACAGCCTCTGCCCCCGCCAGCCTCAGCGCGCCCTGGGGACATGTGAGGCTTCTCCCCTGGCTTCTCCCCTCAGTGCCCCTGCTGTCCTTCGCTGCTCCGAGGGAGAGTCAGCTGAGAGRAAAGCACAGCCTCAGGCAAGGACATCGAGGGAATGTGAGATGTTGGGACAACACAGGGAGCTGGCACCGCCCAGCCCAGCATCCTCCAGCAGGAGTGGGGACAGACGGATGGAGTTGACTGGGGTGACAGAGCTCCCAACATCAGTGTGCCTGAAACCCGTGGGCACCAGGGGACTTTCTGGCACTGGTGAAAGCTCTGAGCTCTGCAGATGTGTCATCCTCGTGTCATCCATCCCTTCTCAGGACCATGAATCCCTCTTGTGGTCACCACAGGCTCTGGCCTGGGGAATATGTGGGGACATGTCAGGACTCAGTCACTGATGCCTGGAGAGGAACCAGAGGTAAGACCACCCCAGCATCTGCACCCCAGGCCAGGCACCCCAAGGGCAGGACTGACCCAGGAGATGTGTGTGCACCTCATATCAGCTCTTTCTGTCCTCCAGCTCCAAAATACGGGAACACAGTGGGTGCCAACCCAGACCAGGAGATCCTCCTGCTTTGTTGAAGGTGCCACATCCTTGGTGGAGCCCAGGCTGTTCCCAAGCCCTCCCTGACACTCATCCTGCCTCCAGGGGACAGTGCCAGCCTGCCCAGGTGCAGGCTCTTGCCTGTGCTGGTGACTTCTGCGTGGACCAAGGGACATCCACATGGAGCAAGAGCGGGCCCAGCCTGTCTCCTGCCCCCACCCCCTGCCTCTGTCCCTCCCTGGGGGACTCAGGCAGGACAAGTGTCCCAACACCACGTGTGCCCGGGGCCAGCCATGCCAGAACCAAGGCTCAAAGCCCTGCTTCTACTCAGTGAAGGCACCACTCCTGGCTATCCCCTGCTCTGAGCTAACCCTGCACAAAGGGGGTGCTGAGAGCTCACATTCCTCCCATGGACAGAGCCTGACCCAGCTGGCCATGGTGATAAGCCCAAAGACGCCTCCAAGGATGCCCATTCCCAGGGTGTCTGGGGAGCACTAGCTGCAGCCAGAACATCCCCAGGCTGCTGAAGCAGCCACCCAGGTGCCCAGGCCATCAGGTCATCTCTGCCTGGGGACCTCAGCCCTGGGTGCCAGCACAGCCCCACAGCAGCACTGGGAGTCTCTCCAGGAGCAYATCTCAGCAGGAACAGCCAGAGGAGCAGCTCTCACCAACTGGGAGACGTCCTGGGAGAGGTCCTGCCTGTCACCAGAAAGGGGACCCAGCCATGGGCAGCTCTGCTCAGAGGGCATGAGACCCCTTGGCAGGCCGGGACCCCCCCAGTGAGAGTGAAGGGCGGGGGGAAAAGAGGATGGTGACAACCTCAGGAGAGGAGACAAGACTTTTCTGTGTGAAAGACTCCATGCTTAGGGAAGCTCCATGCTCAGATGCAAAATCGTCTAAGGTGTCCTCTTCCATCGTCTGTGCCAGCACGGAAACCCCAGCACCCATGGGGAGAGAGAGGGAGACAGGGACAGAGAGACAGAGACAAAGAGAGAGAGAGAGAGAGAGAGAGAGAAAGAGAGAATTTGAGAAGGAATGAGGGAACAAAGGGTGGGTAGGTGGGTGGGTGGATGGATGGATGAATGGATGGAAGGATGGATGGATAGATGGACAGAGGTCACAGCTGTGCCAGCTCTAGATGTTCCATTCACCTCTGCACTTGATGGATTCCATGGTGAAAGCGGTGTGAGGCAAAGTCACCCTTCCTCAAGCGCTTGGCCGAGGGGCCACAGCCCCTGCAGCCACGATGTCCAGGAATTGCTGGGCCCAGCAGGAACACGGGCACATCCCAAACTCCCTGCAGAGCTGTGCCCCATGGCAGGGGCAGCCAGGGCAGAGCAGCCCCACACATGGCACCTGCCCTCCCAGAGCCACATCCTCGGCTGCAGGCACAATGCTGGCTCCAGCACCCACTGAGGGACAGCGGGCAGGGAGGGTCCTGGCAGGGACAGGGCACCCCAGCTGGCAGCAGGGACACTGCTGTCACACATTGCCTGCACTGAGCCCACCAGGGCCCAGGCCACAGAGCCCAGCTGTGCCACATCCACACCCCCCAGTGAYGGGGGCTCTGTCTTGGCACCCCAATTCCAGCTCTCTCGTCACCCCATGGTCCCCGTGCAAAGCCAGCATGCATAATGCCCAAAGGGGACAATGTGAGGTGGGATCCCAATGTGGCACTGCTTACCCTCCACCCCCTCCCACACTCAGGTCCCACTGCTGAGAGCACCATGGGGCACCTCTGCACAGGTGCCTGTTCCTGCTCTGCCGGGGACACCCCCCAGCAAGCATTGTGCTGGCATTGGTCCATAGGCTGCTGGTGAGGAGGGTGAGCAAAACCTCACCCCATGGGCCACCAGAACCACAGCCCAGCTCTTAGGCAGCCCCAAAACACCTCCAGAGAAGGGCTGTTCAGTGCCTGGGGAGATCTCCCACAGCAGCATGAAAATGGTTCAGAAACTTAAAGAGACATCCCTGTCCCCAGCACATCACTTGCACTGTGCTTCCTCAGGGCAGCACAGGAGCAGAGCCCCCGAGCTGAGGGACTCCTCCCCGCCAGATCCTGATCCTCTCCACAAGAGAAGCAGCAGAACGAACCTCAGTGGCCTTTTCAGGGGTTCCCTTTGGTGTTTCATCCTCGTGCTTGGGTGAGGAAGAGGCTGGTGAGGAAGGCAGCCTCCTGTCCCGGTCCCTGTGAACCAGTTTGCTGTTGGGCTCCTTCAGGGTCCGCTTCAGCTCGTTGATGCTGGCCTGATGCTTCAGCAAAACATCTTCTGGCTTGTCTAAAAACTTGGGAAGGAGAGAGGAAGAGAGCGAYGGTTACAGCAGCAGCCCAGGCCAAAGGGGTGAGCAGGGACATTGGGAAGGTTGGTTTCACACTGGGCTGGAACTGGGGGTCTCAGGAACTGAATGAAGAGCATGGTGGAGCACCCTGGTGTGCAGGTCTCGCTGGGACAGGGAGCAGCTCTGTCACTGAAGGGAGCAGCAGAAGGGCAGCACAGGGCCCAGCGTATGTGGCAGGTGAAGGGCACGGCATGGCCTGATGGCATTRCCAGGGCACTGTGTACTCCTGTCTGCGGACAAGCTAAGGCCTCCTGGACAGGAGAGTGGGCTATCCCTTGGGATCAGCAAGGAATGGGGCCCTGCTGGAAATGCCAGCAGCCTGTGCTGCTGCTCTCTGGTGCCAGGCATGCAGGGAGCCCAGGCTCTGTCCCAGCAAGGGAGGCGAGTGGCATTTCCAGCAGAACTCCTCCAGAGCAGGCTCTGCCCAAGGGACAGTGGTCCAGGACTGGGCAGAGATGTCCTGCACAGATCCAAGCCTGGATCCCCGTGGACCAGCCTGGGATGAGTGGGTCTGATCTGCTGTGGAGAGAGGACAGTGCAGAGCACTCAGGGGCGAGGGTTCGGGTGTGGGAGTGTGGCCAGGTGAGGGCACAGGCGCTGGGGTGGCCCCCTCCTCCTGCCACAGAGGTGGGCAAACCAGCTCCCAGCAGGAGCCTGGCTTTTGCCTCCAACCCAAACCTAAACCCAAACCTCTCCTGAGGTTCAAAAGGAGGTCCCTAAAGCCCTCCCCAGTACCTCCTTGGCAACAGAGCAGAGACCCGTGAGAGTCCCAGGAGAAGCCCCACCAAATTTTCCAGATGCTGAAGGMTCAGCACAGTGCCATACAAGTCCCACCCCGGCCCTGCATGTCCGAACTGAGCAGGGCTCAGGTGTGCCCACCTCTGGGCTGGGTGCAGCACATGCACATGCAGTGGGCAAGCGATGATGCAGGTGGAGGTCAGAGCAATGCCCACCCCTGGCRGGGCGGCACAGGGAGGCCGATTGTGCCAGCGTGGCCAACCCCATCCCCTGGCTATGCTTGCTTCGGCTGGCACCTCAGTCTGGGACCTCCATCCCACTGTGAGCAGAGGTGATCCCCYGGGGAGCAGCCCTGGGTTTGAGGCCAGGAGGAATCGCTCCCGATGGGGTCACCACAGGCACAGTTTGTGCAGGAGCGCTCAGCCTCCCTCTGTGCTCAGCCCCTCTCAGGGAGGGCAGGCACAGGGCTGCTGTCAGTGCTGGCCCCRCCAGGCAGCCCAGAGCCTCCTGGCCCCCATGGAGGTGGGATGGCAGCCACAGTGCTTGGGGAACCCCAGCCTTGCTCTCGGGGGCCTGCAGGAGAGCTGGGCAGGGGGGAATGAAGCAGGTTGGGTCAGGCAGCAGCAGAGCRTGGGTCAGGTGCCAGCAGGAGGACAGGACCAGCTCCACAGGAGGGGAGACACAAGGCGAGGACACAGGGGGTTGGGAACACGAGCAGAAGCCAGGTCATCTCAACGGGCCAGGGGCTCTCCYGCCCTCAGGAGGGCTCCTGCTCACAGGCACCATCAGGACCACCTTATTTAGTGGGATAGAAGATGCCACAGCTGACCCCCAGATGTCTGTTCCTTGGGCTCCTCCAGCACCCAACCCCCAGCCCGGTGCATCTTGTATTCCAGTAAATAGGGTGACATATGGACTTGTTTTGGTAAGGATGGACAGTATGATGCACYAATGAGGACTAAGATACTCCAGAGAGAGAATACCTCCTGCTTGTGCCTGGGGGTTGTTTCATGCTCCGGCTGGCAGCAAAGAGAGGGTTAAAAGTAACCAGCAGGGTCAGTCAAGGGCACTTGTCACAAACATCACAGTTTAACTGATGGGCTGGTAGGGACCCCCCCCTCCCCTCCCCTTCCCTCCCCTCCCAGCAGGGGGCTGAAATGGGCAGGGACAGCCCAGGAACAGGACAGGAGGGGATGGGCTGTGGTGGGCACTGGGCAGTGGTGGGCCCTGGTAGTGGTGGGCACTGATGTGCTCAGCCTATGTCCCAAATGAGTGTGCTTGAGATGGCACCACCACAGCCTGTCCCCATCTCCATCCCTGTCCCAGAACCTGGCTGTACCCAGCTCTACCCTGCCTGGGGACGATCCTTGAGACCACATAGAGGGCTCTGAGGAATCCAAGTTGAGCCAGACCCCTATGACAGCCCCACTGCCACCAGTGGGGACAAGGGCCATGTCCCAAGGGTGCCACCAGTCTGGGGCACAGCTGACACCGGCAGGGCTGCAGGGATCCTGCCTGAGTGACCCTTCCGGCCTGCAGCCCAGCCCTGCCTGCCCCTCCACCCCCAACCTCCTCTGCCCACCTCAGCTGTACCTTCAGCTCCTTGATCTTTGTTGGGGTGGTCACCTCCTCGTCCTCCGTCTCAGAGCGTCTCCTGCTGCCAAACTCACCATCCTCATCTGCCTTCTCACCCTCGGGCCTGGCGTCATGGTTCTCACTGACAGAGGCTGGGCGCGAGAACTCTGCCCATGGGGACAGCCGGGTCATCCCAGCCTGGCCACCCCCCTCCTGCCCAGCCCCTGCCCCTGCCCACCGGGATAGCCGGGTCACCCAGCCCTGCCACCCTGGCCCACCCACAGCCCCTGCCYGTAGGGACAGCTGGGTCACCCCGCTGCGGCCCCAGCCCCCGCCAGCTCACACCTGGGGCTGATGGTCCTGGGGGTGCCAGGGCACAGGGGAGGGGGTGATGTGTCCCCAAGTTGCCTGACCCTGGCCCTRCCATGTCCCCCTGCTCACACACAGACTGAATTACCCCTTGGGGTGGGGACAGACCCCATGCCATGGGGGTGCCACYTGGAACTGCTGTGCCCCTGTCCAGTGCGGCCAGGCAGCACCCCCTCATTCCTGCTGGTGAAGCAATGTCCCTCCTGTCCCCATCTGTCTCGTACCTCCATCCAGGCTGCGGGACATGGTGTAGCGTTTGCTGGAGGAGCGCTCGAAGAAGGGCGCAGGGCGATCGATGAGGGCGCTGGCCTGGCGCGTCTGCGCCTGCGTGCGCCCGCTGTACCGAAACTTGGAGCCCATCACCAGGAAGCCCTTGGGGGGTGGCTCTGGGGACACCAGCCTAGGGGTCATGGGGGTAGGAGGGTGTCAGCGAGCCACGGTCGGGCCCCCTGGCCTCCATGTGCAGCAGAAGCAGGAGCATGTCTGCCTCCAGGAAGAGAGGTTTGGAGCAGGTTCCTCACCTGAAGAAGGTGTGATGCTCTATGCAGACCTTCCAGAGCCTCTTGGCTGAGCGGTGGTTGGGCAGCTTGAAGCCAATGGTGCTCTCAAACTGTTCGTACTTGGGGGAGACAGAGATGGGCTGTCACAGGCACATCCTGCCCCAGGGACATGGTGGAACAGGACCTTGCCAAGGCCCTCAGGACCATGCAAAAAAAACGCCAAAAGTCTTCTTCAAAGCTATGCTGGGAAGGTCCATGCCCAGCACATGCCCAGCAGGGCAATGGGATACACCCCACACCTCTGGCCTCAGCTGTAAATGGCTTTTCAGTGCGAGATAAATTTCCTCAAGAAACAAAAAGCTTTTATAGCTGTTTTGGTGTAAGGGCATTATTCTCAGGTGTGCTGTTTTTGCCCTCCAGCCTGCTGGAACACCTGGATGGAAATGCATTTTCCCACCATAAAAGAGGGAAAAYAAAGTCTGAAAATTAATGGAAAAACTTCATTATTATTTTTTGTAAAGATGTGATAAAAATGGCCCTCAATCCCCTTTCCTGGGCAAGCTCCCTACACCAGCAGGGTCRCTGTGTCTGTCAGGGATGGGATCCTGGGATCCCTCAGCTGCTGAAGTCACAAGAGCACATGAAAGAAAATCTATGCCACAGGAGATGTGCTCTCTTGGCCAGCATGATCATAAACGTGGCATCCTTGGAGCAGAGGCCGGAGTCAGGTTAGGAAATCCCCACCATGATCCCCAGTCCCTCAGGACAGGCACCCAGGGGCTGCACCAGCACCTGGCACCCACCTCGCCCGGGCGGATCTTGATGTAGAAGTTGCTCCTCTTGTAGGAAATCTTGAGGATCTTGGGCCAGGCAAAGCGGTTGATGCGCAGCCGGTCCCGGTAGATGAGGAGGCCGTTGGCGCAGACCCCCAGCATGATGTCAATGCCCTCCGAGTCCTGCAGGAGGCAGGAGAAAGGAGGGGACAGCTCAGCCGCTCAGCAAGGGCCAGCCTGGCCAGCAGTGCCACGTCCCTATTGCTGGCTGCTGCAGGGGCCTGGCTGGCAGAGGGGGCACTGCACCCCAATCTGGTGGAGGATAAACTCTGGAGCTCCTCTGGTACAGCAGAGTCACCCAGAGTGTGCCAGGAGCCCTCCCTGCAGGAGGGTGGGCAGGAGCAGGCTGGGAAGGGGCAGCGTTCCGGCAGCCCCTAGCCCCGTACCTTGGCGTGGTGTAGGTCCACCCCATACATGGAGAGCTTCTTGGCATTCTCCAAGAAGTGGATCTCTGCTTCCCCAGGGGTCATTCCCCTGCAGGCAGACAGAGAGGGGGACACGTGGCTGAGCGCTCCAYGGGTGTGCAGCAGCTGTGCCATGCCATCCCCCCCGGGGCTCACCGATAGGTCTTGTGCAGCTCCATGATGCGCTCCTCCAGCTCCCGCGTCTGGTTGGGGGCGAAGCGCAGCTCRCTCACATAGTTGCCCACGTGCTCCTCGGCGTCGTGGTCACCCAGCTCGGCCTGGACAGCATAGGAGCCCAGCAGGGCGTGGGTGACGAAGGAGCAGGGCAAGCGGCCYGTGATGATGTCAGCACGGAGCTGCAGGCACAGGTAGTATCTGCAGGGGGGCAGAGGGTCAGAGAGGGGCAGGGGAGCAGTCTGAGGGTCCCAGGAAGGAACCTGGGTCTCCCCAGGGCAGGCTGGGGTTCCCAGGAAGGAATCTGGTGCCCCCAGAGCAGGCAGGGGTTCCCCAGGAAGGAGACCCGAGGTCCTCACCTGGTGATGTCCTCTGTGAGCTGGGCAGGGTCAGGAGGGTAGAACTTCACGGTGAAGGCAAAGTTCCAGGGCCCGCCTGGGGAGGGGAGAGAGCATCTCAGGACAGCACCCTGGGGGCTGCACACAGGGYACAGGAGCATCCACAGGTCCACTGAGGATCCCAGTGCTCTCTTAAGCCCCACCAGGGCAGGCATAAAAGGACTCCACAGGCTGTCAGGGGCACAGCCCTTGGGACTCCAGCATAGCTGGGTGAATCCTCCCTGAAGAACTGGGGACAGCAAAGAYTCACTGCAGGAGCCACCAGCTCAGGGTCACAGCAAAAGTGTCCTGTGTTCCCAAAGGTGCCASCCTGGAAAGCAACACGATGGCAAAGGCACCCCAGGGCCCCCCACSTTTCCCCACTGTCCCCATACCCCCTGAACAGGGCAGGCAGTGACAGAGAGCCACCAAGTCTCAACCAGCTCCCCTGTGGCACAGATGGGTCCTTTGTCTCCCCACCTCTCAAGAGGTGGGTAACACACAGCTGAATGAGCAACAGCATCCACGTGCCAAGGCCAGCTGCCAAAGGTCCCCTCCAGGGCAGGTGGGGAGGGGACAGCCACACTGAGCCATTTGGGAGCCCCATGGGACACCCCAGAGCCGGGGAGGATGGACCTTCTCCAGGCACTTACTGCGGATCTGCTTCTTGATCTCCTTGGAGGGGTCCAGCCAGTTCTGCAATGAGGAGACAGCAGATCAGGGGGGTGCCCACCTCGGAGGGGTTGGCTGCAGAGGGATSCCCCATGCTTACCTTCTGGCTGTCTGAGTCGCAGAAGGTGAGGCCGAAGTAGTCCTTCTCCAGGAGGTTGAGGTGCTCACACACCAAGTCAAAGAGCACCTGGCCTCGGGCGTGTTTCTGTCACAGACACACAYAGGCTGATGGTGAGATGGCCCCTTGGGCTCCTGGACACCCTCCAGGGGACCACCAAAACATGCTGTCACCTGGCATGGGCTTCATCATGTCCCAGCCCTGTAGCCCTGGGATCACCCGGGTGTCCCCAGACTGGTGCTAAAGGGTGTCCTGGGACTGCAGAGATGTGGCACCACTGTGGGGACACCCAGGTGGTCCTGGARTTGCAGGGATGGTCTCCTGGTGGCAGTGGTGGCTTTGTCCCCAAGGAYGGCATGACAGACAAGAGCCACCAAGAGCCCAGGCCACGTGCAGTGATGGAGAGCACCCTTGGCATCAACGAATCACAGAATGGTTAGGGCTGCAAGGGACTTTAGAGGTCATTTCTCTAAGGGACCCTGCCACTACTCCAGGCTGCTYCAAGCCCTGTCCAACCTGGCCTTGGAGTCCAGGGATGGGAACTGAATTCCCCTGAATTTTGCTTTGTTACAGGCAGCAACAAGGCCCAGACTCCCTCAGGACCGTGGAATAACAACCCTTCCAAGTGTGTATCTTCCCCTCCTTCCATCCTGGCAGCTCTCATCTCCCCTCTCCAAGGCATCCACTCGGCCAGTGCTCCAMGGAGAGCCAGGGGAAGGATGACTGCACTGGGGCTTGCAGGCTGCCCCTGTGCTCCACGAGCCCTGGGGATGCTCTGCTCCTTTCCTTCTTCAGGAGAACTTCCATCTTGGTGCCAACCTGTCGTTCTACAGCTTTGTGACCAATTTTAGCACTGAAGGGACAGCCAGTGCTGCTGGAGCACAGAGACCAAAGGCCCCGCTCCTGTGCCATGGGCAGGGGCTGGACACCCCAGCCAGCATCCTCGGGGTGCCCCGTGCTTCCACACTCCCTCCGTTCACCAACCCCAGGCAGCCGAGCCCTGCAGCAGAAGCACCTGCACACTGTGCTGCCACAATTATCCATGGGCCAGAGCCAGGGCAAAGGCCTCCCTGGCACAGGCTCTTGGATCCTTGCCCCTGAACCAGCTCAGCTTTYCATCCTTAAGCAAAATTGCCAGTCCTTAAGAATGTCCCTCTCTGCCCCCCGACTCATGGTGTGGGTCGGAGCAGTGCTGTCTTCCCAATCTGAGGACAGGAGACAGCAGCAAGTGCTGCTGTCTGAGGACAGGAGAGAGCAGCAGTGATGGAGATGGGAACGGGGCTCCTGGGGTGTCCTGCTTTCCGCTGCCTTGTCCTCAGGGCAGGACCACCAGAACCTGCCACAAACACCAGCACCAACTCCTGACTGAATCCTGGGTATCACCCAGCTGTCCTGGAAGGGAAAGGTGCCTATGTTGATGATAACTGAAGCATTCCTGCAGGTTCTCCCAGTGCTCAGGTGGCCACTGCCAGGTGCGTGTCCCCTCTGTCCCTCTCYGCAGCTACTGCCAGGTGAGTGTCCCCTCCATCCCACCCTGCCAGGTGCTTGAACTGCCAGGCAGAGCTCTATCCCCAGCCATTAAGCTTCTGACTTAGACCCTGATTTGTGAGTGGCTGCCAAATTTGGTTTCATGGGACTGAAACTCCCTGCGAGGGTCTTTCTTTCCAGACTTTTTCCTCACTTTGAAATTTTAGCTTAAATGGCTATTTCTGTGGGTGCTTTTCCCTAGGACAGAAGTACTACAAAGCTGTCCTTGGCAGAGTCCCAGTCCTTGAGCACTCTCTGGACTGGGCAGGACCCCAAGAGTGTCCCTTCMTTTGTGCCAGCACAGGCCCCCAGARCTGGGTCTCACCTCCACCTCGCACTCATACTCAGAGGCATCAAGCAGGGTCACCCTGCACAGGGCACTCTTCATTTTCTTGGTGGTTTTCTGGGGTGACTTCTGGGTCTTGCTGGGGGTTGTTTTGTCAGAGAGTCCATCAGTCTCACTGTAGTCCTTGTCCTCCATGTCGGTGCCCTGGAGCGGGGACACACAGAGGGTTACCTGGCACCACTGCCATGGGGACACATGGGCGAGGGACAGCTGTGCACAGCAGAGTAGGGCAGCCGGGGAGGGGCAGTCCCCAGTCGAGGCCAGTTTCCCCAGCCCACACTCCCAGCACAGCCCAGATCCCTGGAGAATGGTCCCCTGGGGTCAGTGCAGCGCCCAAACCGTCCATGCCCACCCGCCAGCACTGTAGCTCGGCTCCCGAGCAGCTCCCCAGCCAAGCCCAGGTGCAGCCGGGGCTCCCAGCTCAGCCGGGACCGCTGCCGGCTGTCTGCCCGTGCCCCGGCCAGCAGCGCCATTCCCAGCCCGCAGCACTCCCGGCTGCACCGCGGCTCCCGCTTGCCTGTCCCTCCTGCCAGGAGCTGTGCAGGTAGCAGGGGGAGCGGGCAGAGCCCACCCAGTGCCCTGGCCCAGGTGCTCCTCTGGGGGATGTCCCCCTCGGGCACAGGAAGGGACGTACCCACCCTACCGGGCCCCCGCATAGCGGGCAGCAGCGAGGGTGTCAGTCCCCTCTCGTGGCTGTCATCCACTCACCGGTTCCATGTTCCGGCTGTCGGGCTGTGCCTCGGCCTTCTCATGGGGGTCRGAATCGCGGCCGGCGGGGCTGGGCGCAGCCGTGGGGCCCTGGGCAGCCGCCTCCAGCTGCTGCTGCGGAGCCTCTTCCTGTGCGTTCCTCACCTCCGAGCCCGGGCCAGTCTCTGTTGTCATGACCGCTGGTCACCACGCTGGCCATCGTCCCCGGGAGAGAGACAGGACGTGTCACCCACGGCCCGGGGATGCTGCCCAGAACTGCTGGCTGGGATGCCCCGGCTGCTCGGGGAGGCTGACACAGGCTTGGGATGTGCCTGTCTCTGCCCCACTGCCTGCACACATACACGGATCTGCTGCCAGATCCCAGATCCTTGTCCACTCAGATCCACTGCCAGACCCCAGATCCCTGTCCATGCACAGATTGGTGCCAGAGCCCAACTCCTTGTCCACTCACAGATCCACTCCAGACCCCAGATCCCTGTCCATGCACAGATCCAGGGCCAGACCCTTGATCCCTGTCCATGCACAGATCCAGGGCCAGTGCCTGGCTCTCTCTGTGCTGAGAAGTGGCTTTGCAAGGAGCTGGTGGCAGCAGCACAGGACACCGGGATTTCACACTCTGAGCTGCAGAACAGCCAGCAGTGGGGAGRGACACAAGTGATAGGGCCCACCACGGGCAGGGCACGGGTTCATGCCCCATCCTTGCACTCACAGCAGGCAGTGAAGCTGCCCTGAGCCCTGCTCCCACACCCYTGCACCCGCTGGTACCTTCACTTGTGTTTTCTGGGAGGGGGAGGAAAAGACAGGCTGTGAGTCAGGGGAAAGACTGCACTGACACAGGAAATGGTAAACACGGATAGCTCCACAGATCACATCCGGGCTGGCTGGTTTGCTCCCCTCTGGCCACCCTAGCAGCAGCAGCAGCATGCTGGGTTCCCACGGCCAGCCTGGGACCCTGTGGATTCCTGCCTCCAGCCCCAGCTGCCTGAAAAACAAACCCAGGGCCAGGAACAGGGAAGGGAGGGYGCTTCCCATGCCGGGATGCTCAGCAGCATGTTTTTGGAACCTTTATGGTTTTGAAACCTTTTATGCCAACRCAGCATGGGCTGACAGGGGTTGCCRCGAGGGTTTGTGCTCTGCAGGTCATGGAGCACCCTTTGAACCATCACCTACCGTCTGCTCAGGCTGCTCAGGCTCTGCCAGCTCCACACAGGTCATGTCCAGCTGTGCAGGACACACTGGGGTCATCCCTACTAGAGTCCAATGGCTGTGGCTGGGTGAGATGGCTCAGCTGGAGCATCTGGGACCCTGAGGTCACATCACCCACYCTGCCCACAGGGCAGCCACACCGGCAGCCCTGAGTAATGCCTGCAGATCCTGTTCCACTCCTGACCCCTGCCATGGGCAGGGACATCTCCTATTATCCCAGGCTGCTCCAAGACCCATCCAACCTGATCTTGGACACTGCCAGGGATCCAGGGGCAGCCACAGCTTCTCTGGGCACCCTGTGACAGGGCGTCAGCATCCTCAAGGGGAAGAATTTCCTCTCCCATCTAACCTTGCCTTCTGGCAGTGGCAAGCCATKCCCTGTGTCCTGTCCCTCCATCCCTTGTCGCCAGTCCCTCTCCAGCTCTCCTGGAGCCCCTTTTGGCACTGGAAGGGGCTCTGAGYTCTCCCTGGAGCCTTCTCTTCTCTAAGCTGAACACCCCCAGCTCTCCCAGCCTGGCTCAGAGCTGAGGGGCTCCAGCCCTTGGAGCATCTCTGTGGTCTCCTCTGGACTGGCTCTGCAACTCCACACCCTTGCTGCGCTGGGCCCCAGGGCTGGGGCAGCTCCGCAGGTGTCTCAGGGTCTCACCTGTGCAGGGCAGAGGGGCAGAATCCCCCCCTCAGCTCTGCCCAGGCTGTGGGATCAGCCCAGCCCAGGGCTGGTTTCTGGGCTGTCAGTACCCATGGCTGGGTCACATCCCATTTGTCAGCCCCAGCAGCCCCAAGTCCCTCTCCCAGGGCTGATCTCAAGCCACCCAGCCCCCAGCTTGTGCTGGGGCTGCCCTGACCCAGGTGCAGGACCTTGCACTTGCACTTGGTTGAAGTTCATGGGGTTCACRTGAGCCCACTGCCCCAGCCTGCCCAGGACCCTCTGATGCCCTATCCCTGGTAGATGCACTGCACTGCTCAGGCTCAGCTCAGTGTCACTCACCAGATTCACTGTTACAAAGCAAATCCATCCCACACCCCAGCTCCTGTCCCACTGTTGCCCTTCAGGTGTCCTCAGCAGTGGGAAGATGTGAAACCTTCCTGGGAAAAAGACTAAAACTGGCTCTGGGGGTGGAGGGAATGGAGAGGAGGTGACAGAGAAGACAGGGAGTCAAGCCTACACCTTCCGCCGGATTYGCAGCCAGGAGATCCCAGGAACATTCCCCTCCTGTGCCCATGCTGGCTGTGTGGACACCACAGGGGCCTCGTTTCCCACCCAAAGGTCCAGGATTTCACCCCCTTGTCCCAGGGCCATGTTCTCCTGGCCATGACAGGCCAGACAACTGGCTCTGAACAGCAYCAGCTCCTCCTGACACACCCCACTGCTCTGCCAAGGCCACCAGAAGCTTTCAGAGGTCACCAGTGGTTTGTTTTTTCCACAGAGGAAACAGGGCTGCTGTTTTTCCACTGCACATTCAAGCAGTTGCTCGCTCCCAGCCCCAATCCCTGTGTAGATCATTCCCAAGTGCTTCTGCCTGGATCTCAGTGTGTGAATTTTTAATCAATGTGAAATCTCTAAAATGACAACACATCGCCTTGGGCCAACAACATGCTGAGTTTTCCACTTGATGTTTCTAAACTTTCTTCCAAACTGCTTTTTCCCTGCAGTGTGAAGCACTCATCCCTGAGGAAATGAGGGGTTTTTTTAAGGGTAGGAAGCTAGTACTTCATCTCACCTCACTCTTGCATCTGAAGCTACAGTTCAAACCTTCTGATGGTGGCAAGGAGCCTGATCCAGGGACCGACTTGCAGCTGAAGCCAGTGAGAGCATGGCACAGAAGTTCCAGGGTGGCAGAGCTCTGGTARGGGGGCCTGGCAAATCTCTAGGGAACATCTGCCTGCTCCTGGGGCAGGGAATCCCTCAGTCTCCAGCCTTGCAGTCAGGCTGGGGAGGCTCTGGTCTCTGYAGGGTCACTGCTGGACTGCAGGAGCTGTTTGAGGGAGGGCTGGCAGGGGCAGTGGCTTGGGCACAGCCCTACTGCAGCTAAGCTCTGCAGCTGCACAGCCCCGATGGAGGGACCACGCTGGCACTGCCATGCTCCTGGGTACTGCCACAAGGGCAGCATTCASGAGTAGTTCCCGGCCTGCCCTGGGGCTGAGCCAGAGCTCCTGCAGCGCTGCCACTCACCCCAACGCTGCTGCAGCCAAGGATCAGCCTCAGCCTAGCAGCACCAAGCCCGTGGGGACCGTGGCACCAGCAGTGGAACACTGCCATTCTCTGTGGCAGCCTGGTCACCCACACTCACCTGCATCCAGRGCTGTGGGAGAAGGCCACCAAAGCTGATATGACCACCAGAATCCTGTGTGCCAGGCTGGGGGCACAGCACCCAGGGGGCACGTGCAGGCTCTGCAGGGACCTGAGCAGCACTCACAGTGCACCCTGCCCCAGCCCCTTGTCCCTCTATTTCCGGTGGCCTTTCCCATGGCCCTCAGGAGCTGCAGAAGGAGGTGTTGCCCTGTGYTGTGGGCAGAAGCTGTCCCTGATGGGAGGGGACAGCACAGCACAGACAGGGAGCAGGAGCCACAGAGCCCTGTCCACCCCCAGCACCTTCTGGGTGCGAACTCAGTTCCTGCTGCCCCAGCACAGGGACCTCAGAATGGGGCCATGGATTGCAAAAGGATACCGGTCCCWATGTGCTGCCCAAGGGACAATTTCATTGACATATCTGCTATCACAGACATGTAGAAGAGGTTTACACCACAACTGCAGTGAACTTAGTTATTTTTTAAGTATTTCCCACAGAAGAAGCAGGACCCCATCCCTCTGGGCACCAGCCTTCCCAGGCTGTCCCAGTCCTTCCCAGCACCCAGCTTTGCTCCTGCCTGTTCCACTGGAGCAGCTCCCATGCTGAGGCTGTTGGAGGCAGGAGGCAGCAGGCACTGACCCCCAGACCCTGTCCTGTGCAGGGCAGTGACCAGTGCTCCTCTTGGCACCCACAGGCCCCAGTGCCCCATGTCCAGTTTTCAACAAGGGCAAGTTGTCAGCACAGGCCCAGTTTCCAGCAAAGCTGGCTTGTTCCTGCTGCGGCTGGAGCCCTGTGGGCTGGGGGATGCTCCTCAGGGTAGAGGGCTGGAGCCAATGAAGTTCCAGGCTGCCAGAATAGGCACGCGGGAATGGTGACTGCAAAGGCAACCTCAGCAGGATCACAGGCAGACCTGCTTGTCATGCCTGGAATCTCCTCCCATCATCTCCCTGCCTGCTTCTCCTCCCCTCAGTGTTTTCTTCTTCCTTCCCCTTCAAGCTGGAGTGTGGATTTYCCAGCTGCTTTGCCCCATCACTTTCCCAGCACATCCCAGCTCCAGCCTCTGCAGTGCTCCCCTCCCCAAACCCTCCCTTCCCTGCAGCCGGCTCTCCCCTCCCCTGCCCCGTCACTCCCAGCTSCTGGGCTGCTTTCCGAGGCTGAGCAACCCCCTTTTCTCCTGGGGTCCCCTTCATCCCCCTTCATCCCTGCCCATTGGCTGTTGCCAATCCATGAGGCTTCACCTCTGGAGCATCCTCGTCACAGGCAGAGAGCAGCCCCCTGCTGAGTGCCCAAACTGGGCTCCACGGGCTACAGCACAAGTAGGGAGCACARAGACGGGTGACAACCCAGAGACCTCCTCTGTCACCCCTGCCAAGGGCCCATGGGACTGATGGTGGCAGCAGAGACCCCCACAAGGCTGTGGGACAGATGCCTGCTGCAGAGACAGACAGACACGGGGAGCAYCCTGCGGGGTGGCAGTGGCTGCACGGCACAGGGCACAGGGCCAGGTACCTGTCAGTCTTCAAGAACAGAGGTGCTCACCGGGGCTGTGGCACCCAGCAYGCCTGAGGGGGCAGGGGCTCAGCTGGCAGGGGACAGGAGCACAGGCAGCGCCTTGCAGCCAGCCTGGAAACCTGAAGGAACCCAGCAGGGAGTACTGAGCATCCTCCAGGGACACAGAAACAGCAAACAAGGAAAGCAGCCCCAAAGCCCCCGCAGCACGAAGCATCCTGAGCCCCCACCCCCAAGCCCCAGTGGCACCCTGGGCCTCACCCCCTGGTACAGGACACACAAATCCCCAAACCGCTCTGCAGTGCAGCCCGRGAGCTCTGCAGCAAGGCCAGAGAATCATATGAGCTGTTTATGTGAGGGGCAAGGATCAGAAACACAGGGGATCCCCTGCTCCTGCGGACTGAACTCTGCATCTCCTCACGGGGGGCTGGCACGGGCACAGATCTGCAGCGACCCGAGCTGTAAAAGTGCTCCGTCATAGAACCATCAAGTTTGGAAAAGACCTCTAAGATCAAGTGCAGCCGGCCCCTATCATCCCCAGGAGCCGCATCCCACCCAGCCTTTCCCAGGTACCGGCCCCTGGCTGAAGCTCGGGACAGCAGCAGCAGCAGCAGCAGCAGCAGGGCCGAGCAACACGCAGTGCCCGGGGCGGGGGGCCCTACCTGGGTGCCAGCTCCCCATGGCTCCAGCGCGGCTCATTCCGGCGCGGCTCATCCCGCCGGGCTGACGCTGCGGCCGAGGCAGCTCTTTCTGCAGAGCCGCCTCTTCCCACGCCCCGCGCAGTGACGGACGGACGGAGACGGAAGGACGGATGGATGGATGGATGTGCGCTGCAGCTCCGGCCGGGATGGGAGCTGCGAGCGGCGCTGCCTCCCCAGCCCAGCGCCGGGCTGCCCTCCCGGGGATGCCGGTGCCCACCCCACCGCCCCCGTGCCCACAAATGCCTGATTCATCCCGGGCCGGGCGCTCCTGCCGGGATCCTTCCCCGCGCACGCCCGGCAGGGAACGAGAGCTCCGCGGTGCATCTTTGTCCCAAGGTAACAGGGCACTGCCCCGCACTCCCCAGCCCTTTCACGGCTCCCGGGGCAGCAAACACCGTGCTGCCATCACACCCCGGCACCCCGCTCGCCCCAGGCTGCTCCAAGCTGTCCCAGCAGCGGCGGCTGAACAGAGGCTCTTTCATCGRCCCTGGCCAGGGTGAAGCCCCGAGCATGACACCCAGCACATCCCTGTCTCCGGGGCATGCGTCCTCTTGTCCCCTGGGAGGGACAGCCCCACAGARCAGACACGGTGGGGACACACTGCAGGGTGCTTGCACCCCACAGCGCAACAGTGGTGTCCCTGGAACCCAGCGCTGACCCTGCCGGGCAGGGGGACAAGTCMTGCTGTCAGCACGGGCTGGGGACATCCAGGGCACAGGCAGGGACACAGGCAGAGTCTCGGGGGKCAGGTGCGGGCTGGGTTATCCTGACCAGATGTGGTGGAGCAGCAGTGCCCAGGTRGGACCCCCCAGTTCCAACACACACTGATGGAACTGCCAGGCATGCTGAGCCAYCAGGAACCCAGGGAGACAAAGCACAAGTCTGGGGAGCTGCTCGGACACCCCTGGCAGGCCCTGGCTATGGGGATACATCTAGTGTGTGGGTGACCACACGGGGTGCAGAGGGAGAAACCCAAACTGCCCAGYTGCTCACCAGTATGAGCTCCCCAAGAGGTACCCATGGGTTGGGATGCTTGTGGACTGCTCCCCCAGCCAAGAACATCAGCCCTGGGGGCACCAGATGGACAGGGACAGAATCCCAGCCTCCACAGCCCTCACTCTGAGCCCTYCCCAGGGCTGGGCAGCTTCACAGGAACTCCTGAGCTGCTGAACTGGGACAGCCCTGGGGTCCTATTCTGAAATGCAGCAAGAGAGAACCGGTAATTCCACACTTCCCAGAAAACTTCTACTCTTCTGAAATCCTTGCCTCGTCTGCACCCTAAGCCAACACCTCAGCAGTGCAATCCCCACAGTTCAGCCCAGCCAGGGGTCAGTAGGGCTCACAGCTTCCCTAGCCTCTACAGCCCCCATGGGAGCACCTACAGTACCTGGGCAGCCTCAGCATTCCCAATGGCACTTCCAGCCCTGAACTTCCCCCTTTTCCCACTCTCCAGGAGGTGTGGCCATTGAGTTTAGGGCTGGGTGCTGCCAGTTCCTGGCTGCTGTGCCCTGGTTAGGGCTGGGGTCACCCATCTCGGGTCACCCACAGTTGTACAGCATCCCTGGGTGGCTCCATCAGGTGGCCTAGGGAAAACAAGGGCGGGAAGGATCTTCCCTCCATCCCTGGAAGGAAGCAATGATGGATCCAGAAAAAAGGGCTCAGGCCCTGGCATGCCAGGCTGGAAGGGACCCATTGCATCCACTAACTGCAGAGGGGCCTATGGGAACTCTCCTTGGGTCCAAAATCTTCATGGAAAGGTGCTCAGCACCAGCCTCCCATGGCAGTCAGGGAGTCACCATCACTGAAGGAATTTAAAAGACACAGATGTGGCACTTGGGGACACGGGTCAGTGGTGGCCTTGACAGCACAGGGTTAAGGCTGCACTTGACACACAAAATTCCTTTCCARCCTCAATAGTTCTTTGGGGATGAGACCCCCCCAGAGTGCACAAGGACTGGGGAAGCCTGAACAGCACCAGGAGGTCCTGCTGGTACTTGGGCCCTGTGGCATCAGCACTGTGCCCATGGAGGACCCCGCTGTGCCCTGCTGAATGCCACACACTGCCCAGGCCGGAGCCCATTGCACTGTGCTTGAGAAGAGGATCGCAGGCTGGGTGAGGTTGGAGGCTCCTCTGGAGATCACCTTGGCCAGCTCCCCGCTCCATCAGGGCCATCCAGAGCCCAGCATGTATCCCGGTGGCTTTGGAGTCTCTCCAGCAATGGACACTCCACCGCCTCCCTGGGCACCTGCACCAGTGCTCGGCCACCCTCACAGTGCACAAGTGTCTCCTGAGCTCAGAGGGCCCCTCCTGTGTGTCAATTTGTGCTCTTGGGGCCTGGGATTGTCCCTGGGCACTGCTGAGCAGAGCCTGGCCCCATCCTCTTGTTATCCCATGGACAAACTCTCACATTTTCTCTCTAAGGAGAAGCTAATTAACCCCACGAGCTGGCACAGGCAGCATTTTGGAGGGGGAGGCAGTGCCTAGGAGAGCTTCCTCTGTGTTTCAGTGCAGGGATGGGGCCAGCAGAAGGACATCAGCCACAGTGTCACCCACAGAAGAGCCCCCCAAACAGCCATGGTGACAACAGGCTCAGCAAGAACACAGCTGATGCCTGAGTCACTCCACGAAGATGGGCCTGGGTACCTCCTCACCCACCATGAAACCCCACCAAGACACCTCCTGAGGGAAGGAGCAGCTTGAGGATCCCACAGGTACCCCTCCCCCTACCCCAAAGGTGCCCCCAAAGCAAGCACTGAGCCAAGCTCCTGCACAGGCAATGCTGTTGGAAGTCCTCCCTTGCTCCTGCTGACCCCATGGCACTGTTTCCTCACATCCCWGTGATCCCACACAGCACAGGAGGACATTGTCTGCATCCCCCACTGCCCCCTGGAGCACAGTTTGGTGACTCAGGCAGCAAAGCAGAGCCAGCTCCCTCGGACCACAGTGGGACACAGCTCAAGTCCTGGAAGAGGTCAAGGCTGAACTTGGCTTTGGGTTTTGTTCAGGGTCCCAGTAAATCCAGAGATCCCACTAAGTCCTTAGATSCCAGCAGAGGATGCTGTGAGTTTGGAGGAGCACTGGTCTCATCCCTTCACCACTGCCCTGGCCAAGCTGYCAGCCATCCTTTGGGGGCCATTTGGGAACCTGCAGGAAGGCAGGGATCTGCTGATAGAGCCTCTGACTTCAAACACCAACATACTTCTCATTAATTTGGTAGAAAATAAGCTGGGGTGGAGGGAGGGGAGGGCTGGCAAAGACAATCCCTGCACTGGAAAGGCTGGAAAATCCATTGGAAAACGTCACCCAAAGTAGCCCTGGGCACATCCGTCCCTGGACTCTGGCACCCAGAGGGAAGGAGGGCAGTGTTCGGGGCACTGCCAGGAGGGGCTGCCCCACTGCCCTGTCCCCCCCAAGCTGAGGAGGGGCTGACACAGATCAGGGCCAGCGGGAAGGGATCCCTGGAATAGTGGGAATGTGCACCCTGGGCTGCACCCTGCCCAGGGCTGGCTCTGGAGCAAGATGGCTCCCCCTGCTCAGGAAGGGGCCTGTAGACACCATGATGGCAAGARCTGATGCAGCACCAGCCCTTTGCCTCGTGCTGGGAGAAAGGACCCCAGAAAGGGACCTCCCTGTGTCCCCCCAGAGCTCACCCAAAGCCAACAGGGGAAACTGAGGCATGTGGGGCTCAGTCACAGCAAGGCACCCTACCTGCCCTCCCCCATGTGGGGCATGTTGGCATTTGGGACCASCCTCATTCTGCACCCAGCTGCCACCTCAGAGGGGTAAACACCCCACTAATCCCTGGGGGTTTAAATCCAAGTAGGGCTCATCATTCCCTGTAGCTTGCAGCCATCGGAGGCACCCTCAGGCACCCTGGGCACACCTGGCCACAGGGACACAGTGTCCCCACACTGTCCCTGCTGCCCTCCCCAGTCTGAGCAGGACAAGGGAGGCTTTGGGAGGCCAGGGGCTCTGGCATGGCACAGCTGATCCATGCCCACACCAGTCTTTGCCCAAAACAGCCACTTGTCCCTTCCATGTYTGCTCCGCTCTGACCTCAGCACCTGCCTCAGAGCATTCACCAGAGGGCTGCTGGTTGAGTATTTGTGGGGTTTAGCCCAATTCCCCACTCACTTGCTCACGCCTTCTGAACATCTACAGACACCAGCGCAGGCTCCCCTCTGGTTCCTCCTCACTTGATCCTCTCTCAGCCACGAGAACGTTTGTCACAGAGACGGGACCAAGAGCACCCCTGCGGTTGCTCAGCCATGAGCCCCATTCACCCAGTGACAGACTAAAACAGGATCAGGACCCTAAAAATCACCAGTGTCCCCAAATGACATTAAATAACAACAGCACCTGCAGCACAGCCCCTCTGCCCATCCCGGGATTCCACACCACACTAAGGAACGGGGCAGGGGCACCAACTCATGGGACAAGATGGCTCCACCAGAACAGGAACATCAGGGACATCAGCCTGTCCTTGGGGAAGACCCTCAGCTCCAAAGGGGATCCATAGGGCAGAGGAGGAGGAACCCTCTGCTATGCATGGAAATATCCCCCAGTACCCACAGCACAGCAGATGCCAGGATGCTGCAGGGAAGGACATGGCCCCTTTGAGGGGGCCCAGATATGAGGATAAAGAGGGTTTTTAGCTTTTGCCAAGGCAAGGGCATCTCAGAGACCTTGGGGATGCTCACACAGACAATTATCMAAGATAAGAGACAAATATTTTTAAGAGAAGGGACGCAAGAGGGATCAAAGAGGGGAGAAGAAAAAGTGAATGAGCTTGGAGCTGCAGCAGGATGGGAAGCAGCACATGGGATCCTTCATCAGCTCTGACCTTCTTTGTAGGGGACACCCCAGGATACAGAGGGGATGTGGCTGCAGAGGACTGCAGGGAACCGTGCCAGCCCAACCCAGACCCCCCAGTGCTGCCCACCAGGGTCCTGTCACCTTCCCCCCACCCAGTGCCATGCCATGGGTCCAGTGGGACAGGGGTGTCCCCACACCAGCCAGGCTTGCTGCTGTCT